TATAAAAATTTAAGTATAATTTTAGAAATCTTAGAAGATATTAATTTTTTCAAAAGAAATTTTTATAATGATATTAACAAAAATTAATGTAGTTATGTAAATTTTAGAAACACCTAAATGATAAGAAAATTTTTAAAAGAAACTTTTATAATTATTTTATATATAATTTTAAAAGACCTAAAAGATAACAAAAATATACCAACAATTTGAGAGTAGCTGCTTTTATTTTTAAGTTCACTGCAAAATTACACTTTTTGACATTTGACATAATAAATCTAAAATATCAGATTTATTAAAAAAAAAGTTGTGGATATTATAATCTACCAGTATCGTTCACGTAAAGCATTAAACTTAGGCGCTCTTTAATAGTCTAATTCTTAAAGCTAATTATATATTAAGCGCTGTAAATGTTTGTTTCTATTATCTGTAGAAAAGCCCCTAATAAGTTCAAATCTTTCGCTAACGTAATCATTAAAGGAAATAAACAAATTTTAATTTGTTTTAATTCCACAACGCGCTCATCATCTTCTCGAAACTACTTTATTATTTATTTTATTTATTTATATTACTTTTATTATTATTATTTAAAACTTATTACAAACTTCTACTTTTTACTATTATATTTTATTTTACATTTATCATGACGCCTTCCATCTTATCTTTACTTTAACAGCATACTAGCCGAATACTCCTTTACGTAATTACAACCACCAACAAAAGCCTTATTTTTAATCGTATCAAAAACATTTTACTTTTTTAAATTAATTCAGGTAGAACAGCTCGGTATTTTGGTTTATGCTAAGCAAAAATCGTAAAACAACTTTATAATAAATGATACGAGGAAAGCAACCAATCGTGAAGGCTGAAATTTTGTAATACAATCCGCAAGAATTTAAGCAAAATAAATTTATTGAAGAAACGTTTAACAATTACAAATATTTAAAAAATCGATTATTAAATTTGTATACTTTTATTTTAGATCACAAATAAATTTATAATTTTAAAAAGTAATAACAAACTTTTTAAGATGGCCGTAAATTTTAAAAAAAAAATTTAAATGTTCTCCTTTAAATATCTACCTTTGTCTAAATTTCTTTTTGTGTTATTAATTTTCATATTTATATGGTCGCATAAGAAACCAAAAAATAGTTTTACAGGTATTTATTAACTTGAAATCTCTCAAATAAATTTTAATAACCCCTTCAACAAATGTTCATAACTCTTTTAGTGTTTTTAATCAAATATACTTTAGAAAATTTAAAAAGGTCATAATGCAATTCGCTTTTACCATAACTTTTTTAATAAAAAATATATTGTAAACTGTGCCAAAGTTAGGCTACCTTTTTTGGTAGTGCGTACCAACGCTGAATATTATATTAATATTAAGTAGAAAATAAATTTAATCTACAAAACTTAAATGAGTGATAACCTTTCATAATGATCACTATCTATGAACTTTACTCATTATAAAGTTTCTTGAAATATTAATATATATATCTATAATAAGTTGTCTCACAAATATCTTTGCTAGAATAGTCTACTTTTTTTAAAAACTTTAAATTATATTTAGATTTACTAAGAATTAAATTATATAAATAAATTATATATTGGATTTTGGATATAAATAATGATTAACAGTTTAAGCAAGAAAAAAAAAACTGAAGTTAATCGGAAAGGCGGTCCTTCGCCAACTAATATTATACATCGTAGTTAAACTTCCATCTTAAATTTATATTTGTGCTTAAATATTGAGTTTTTAGACCGTTTTATTTATCACACCCACAAATATATTTCCAATTATTATAAACATTAAGATACTAATAAGATATTTTGCTTTATAGATTCAACCAATCAAGATGTTTAAAGTAAAGTTTATTACCATGATATTGTTTTTTGTAGCCTAGAGGTTGATAGAGATGATAATTCAGTTTAGTATTATCGTCACAGACAAATTTTTGTGTAAATTTAATCTGTATTTTAAAATTCAATCTTTTTGAGCTTGAAATCTTTATGTAATTATTCATTAATCATAATAGCTAATCATAGTATTTAGGGGATATCTAAAAATTTATTTTTGGCAAACTTGGATTGCTTAACGTAAATATTATATTTATAAATTTTTCCACTAACTTTATAAATTAAAAAGTCCTTAATAAAAAATTAAACAGAACTTAATAGTCGCGTGCTACAGTCGTATATCGCAAGCATTACGACGTCTTTCAAACAAGATATTATTTTATTCATTATGTTGCCATTGTTTTAATTTGACTCTAAAGCGGTGTACTCAAGAAGTTAAACCTTTTTTATTAGCGTTTTTGTAGAATTTTTGGACGTTTAAGTGTTATAGCAGTTTTGTTAGAGTACAGAGCATATATGCCTATATGCTAAAACTGAGGTATATACATCACAAACTTTAGCCTTAATTAGAATAAAGTCAAATATATTAGTCAGTGAACTATTAAAAAATACGTCAAGTTGGAAATTATTTTTTCGCTAAGAGCGCAAATTAGTAACTTTTGCAAACGCTACAATACTAGAAATTACTCGAAAAAAATAGGAGTTCATAATTTTTTTTATTGTTAATCAAAAATAGTAACTTTTACTTTAAGAAAATCCAACTTTAGTCGAAAAATCATTTACTTCTGTAAGATGATTTAATCATTCATATCAAAACAAACTTTACAATATTAAATCTATATACATATTGAGATTAATGAGGCGACAGAAGAACTAAATCTTCTAAGAAATAAGAGAACATTTTGCAAGCTAACAACTGAATACTTCTTAAAATAGGATTTTTGAAAATTAAATAGTTATACTCCCTTCATAAATTTACTATTTGGATTACCCAACTTTAAAACTTGAAGAAAACTGCAATATACAAAAAAATTAGCTTAGCCTTTCAGGTGTTTGCTTGTTGCTTGTTCAAATAACCCAATTTCTTAGTAGACAAGAAGATAAATATATTTTATTTGGATATTAGTTTTAAGATAGTATTGATTTGTCAAAGAAAGACAATTAATAGAATAGTTAACATTGTTGGAAAACACCAGTAATATTATGTTTTAATTAATAAAAACGATGTTGACTTACGGTAAAACCACGTAAGTTTCTAAGTCTAATAGTACGTGTCTTTCTTATTTTGTACAGCTATATAGAGAGGGGGGGGGGAAAGTTATATTTATTATATTCATTGACAATATTAAATTTTTTCGGGTACTTATATACATAAGTAACACTTTTTAAAATTCGTTTCAAACGTTATTAATTAAAACTTGATCTCCTTGTTATTTATTGGGGCTAAGAAGCAAGTTAACAAACTTATTTACAAAATAGAATATACACCTAGACCATTTAATGTTTCATAATTTTTCCTTCTAAAAAAATAAAGTTGTAAAGTAATTTAATGTTCAAGGTCAATTGTTATACTAAAATTATTTTGATAATAATAACTACCGTATGCCAGTAGTATTATCTTTTAAATTTAGATTTCTTTTATCAACTTCCAATTAAGCTTATTATTACATAAAATGTAAAATCTTCAATATGCTTGGTTATATATTTTTTCTGTTACAATAGTAACGTTAAGGTATTGTTTGCACTTAATTATAGACTTTATTACTTTGGTGTGGTCGTCTGAGTTATATCGATAACTGTCATGAAGCCCTTTGATTAAGTCTTTAATTTACCGCACCTATTTCTTTCACAGTGCGTATACTTCTGTTTTCCTTAAAAATGTCAAAAATAAATAAAAAATTATAAAAAAAAGCGTTTTTCCTGTCGGAATAGGGTATAAAAATAATAAATCTGAGTATATGAAGCACTTAAAGATCAAAAACGAATATTAACTATACATTGGTCGTATATGGCCTTTACAAAAGCTTTCAACCGGCATCCCTAAATAAGCGCTTTTTTAAAAAGTTAAGCGCAACACTTAACGAAATGATTTATTACCTAATTGAGGGGAAAAAAAGAACCCTATAGTTCAAAAAAATATTTTCTTAAAAGCTTACTACTTTTTTTTAGTTAAAAACGCTCTATAAACAAGAATACTTTTTTACTTTTTTTTAATGTAAAATTTAAATTTGCGTTAATCAATACTAACAAATGACTCGGTGTGCGTCTTAATTATATGATCACAATTATTGACCAATTATCATGCCGTAATAAATTAGATAAAATAAACCACCACAAATAAAGGAATTTAACGTTTCGCCTGCATATGTAAAAAAGTTTCTTTCTCCATCCCACAAGTTTCAAGAGAAAAAAAAGTTTTTATCATTTAATTATATAGTTCAGGATTTTTTGTTTAGTAAAAATTATTTATTTAAGCAAACTAGGGTTTCATCCAATTATCATATTTGATACTGAAGTTTTTCTCTTAAATACAACTTAAACTCAATAAAATAATGCATTAAAATAAACCAAATTAATTTTAAACATTTATATTTTTTTAATAACATTGATAAAAAAAGAAATTAAATTTGTTGATGTATGATACTTTCTCTTAATATTGTAAAAACACATGCGCAAGTTGCCTAGAATAAGTGATTAAACTTTTTACAAAAGCGAGATGTAACAAGAGATTAATTTTATTTTCCATTTAATAAGAAAAAATATTTGTTATATAACATTGTAGTATGTTAATTTCCTTGCTTTTTAGGACTTTCACTTTTCTTCCGTAGATCATAAGCTATATTAGGTTTAAAGTATGCGAGTCCTTTAAAATATTTAAGAAGCTTCCAGAAAGTAATATTTTTTCTATTTTAATATTTTTTTTATTTCTAAGCTTAATAAAACATTTTATTACTTCTTAAGAATATCACCATACATGGAGTTTTGTGTAGCATTTAATTTTTTTTTACATCTGATATTAATATGGCCTTTGGCTGAAGCAGGGTTGTTCCCTTCGGTCTGGTGTCTGGTTCTCTTTTTTTGTCTTCGAGGTTTTTGGTGAGAGCAGGGCGTCCTTTTAGGTACTGTTGGGGTCGACCTATTTTTCAGCTTTTCTGTTACAATTCTTCCTTCAACTTCTACCAGTATTTTCCTTTTAAATTTATTGCTCTCTACGTTGTTTATTTAAGTACTTCCTTTTCACTGTATTGTTTTCTTTTAGAATTTAGCTAGATTAATAAAGCTTTTTGTTTAAAGGTGAATTATATAAAATTCCGCCCTCTCATCAATTCTTTTTTTATTATTATAATTATTAGGTATTATTTCCTTTTTCATCCTTATTTTGTAGTATAGGAGTGAATAAATGGGTCTACCGAGTAACTATTCTTACTTTTTTTTACTTAATTATGTACTGCTTTATACATTTCAAAGCAACAAATTCAAGTGCTCCGCTTCAAAACCATATGGTTTCACTGCAACTTGGTAAGAATTCAGCTCCGCCTTCTCATGTTTCTTCTAATGCAGTGCCCCATCTCCCCATGCAATTACCTAATGGTTTTTTATTTTGAATAAATATAAATTTTTTTAAAGGCTGTAATAAAAGAACTTTTTTTTCAAATCTTCTTTAATGGCAACTTTTTAATAATGAAGGCTCTGGTCCTTGTCCCTTACTCGGCCCCTCGTCCTCCTTTGTTGCTGCTGGCCAAGCGGGTATTCAACCAATCAATTCAAGCAAGTGAAACTTGTGATAAATTGTTAAGGGACAATTCTATATTTGAAAGACGTCTTATGGGTTACTATATAACTCAAGCTCAATATTTTTTTTCAAGATTTTATTATTAAACCTACAACTTTTACAAGATATTACTTTTTTATACTTATATACTTTTTTATCTTGTAATAGTTTTTATGATTTTTTTTTTAAGTTTTATTTTTTCCTTTTATAAGAATTAAGAACCGAAATTGAAGTACTCCAACAGGATCGAAATAACTTAAGGGCGAATTTTTGTAGAGTATTCTATATATATGCGGTTCCGCTCAATTTTTACTTAAATTCACGAAACAATGCAGTTTTATGAAACAGCTTACAACGTTAGTGTCGAGCTTGCTTTGCAAACCGAGCTTAATAGCCGTTATTATGGGATTATTCAAAGTACAAAACCAAATATTTAAAAATCATAGTTTTTATTTAATTTAAAAATTTTGTCAGTTTGTAGATTTTTACTATATTTCTTTTTGACTTCTCGTATTTAAGTTATATTAAATTTTTTATACGTAAAAATGTCTTTTTAGGTATGCTGCCTCATTTAAACCCGGAATTGCAATCAAAATACCATCATAATCTTGAATTAGCCAAAAAGTTGAATCTTGGAGAAATCGAAGAACAAGTGAACAAAGGCAGTTTGTTTATGCCTCACAACTTCTTTGCTTACCACGAAGAGGTAATACATATGTTAAACAGTGCTTTTGATATCATTAAAATTTAATGTTAATTTTTTAATTAAAATTATAATTAGAGGAGAGGGGGGCACCCTTTTTCTACACGTTACCGATCCGCTTCTCACAACAATATTAACCGTCCCTTTTCTGGTATTTACGCCTTTATTATTTAATTCTTTTAGTCAAATTTATATTTGTACCCCCACATTTGTGTGAAAAGATAAGTCGGTTACTTACGTTAATGCAGTTATTTGTCGTTTATTAATAGTATTTGGACTTTTTAAAAAGCTTTTTTTTTTACTCTTAAGTTATTATTTTGGTTTTTGTTTGCTGGAAAAAAGTATTTAAGGGTTTTTTTTATGTTGGGACTTGAGCGATATTTATTACTTTTTTAAATTGAAAGCAACATCGTTTTTTTGATAAATTATTATATATTTTAATGAATAATTATTACCGCTATTTTTGCACTTCCCAACTTTTGTGATTGGAGCAATATATATAATGAATTGTTGGTCTCCCCTTACCTTTTTATTTTTAGACGACAACGAAGGTCCTAAGAAAAGTAAGATTGAAGTTGAAGAGGAAAGTAACCGTGAAAGCAGCGGGCCTTTTGGAGGCAGCAGAAGAGTGCGGGTCTTTTTTATAAATAAAATCCTACTTTTTTTTTTATAAAGAAAAATTGTATACATGTTTGAAGCGTTCGGTTTCCGATGATGCCTATGGCGGCCCCGGCCGTATGACTTTTAGCTATCCAAATTCCGATCAATATGTACTCTTGATTTGAATTAACTTTCTAAATAAAAGTCATGCACTATTTCAGTCAACGAATTATGAGTTTTTAGACTCTTCTAACGAGCAAGGAGGAACTACATTTATTAATTATTATGGTTTGGCTTTATTTTAAATTCTTTAATTTTAATTCTAATTTTTTATTTTAAATTTTAATTTTAATCTAATTTTTATTTTTTATTGTTTATTTTTATTTTTTGAAATAAACAATGACCCCGTTTCTTCTATAGCGCGAGGCCGTCCGCCACTCAGCATCAACGCCGCTCAAAACGGCCCATACCCTTATAATAAACGTTAATTTTATATAATTGCTAAATTCTTTTAAATTTCTCTGCAAATTAAAATAATTTTGATTTTTCAAAAGTTAGTGGTTTATTACTAAAGTATACACTTACTGAACTTTTACTCTGCGTAGCGTACGCCTTTGTATGTGAAGAAAACTCTGTGAAGCCCGTCGAGTTTCCTCCTGACGCTCGTGTTGGTCCTGACATCCCTACGGGCGCGCAATTTGTTAAGCTCTTTTCACTCCTTTCTTTATTGCTGTAAAATTAGTGATTATTTTTAGGTGGGAAATTTGGAGCACAGCGAAGTTGTCTGCGCTGTGGCCATTTCAAACAATTCCCAACACATTTTTACTGGCGGAAAAGGCGGTGTGAAAATGTGGGATTTGAATAGTAGAAACAAAGTAGCTGATTTGCCTTGTCTTGGTGTGTTTTTTTGTTAGATCTTTTTCTCCCAATTTTTTTTATTTTACTTTTATTATCTTAGAGGACACATATATTCGGTCCTGCAAAGTACTTCCAGGGGATAGGAAAATTTTGGTGGGAGGCGAGTGCGATAGCCTTTTCCTATGGGACGTTGGAAACGGGGCTCCTCGTATATTGGGGGAGCTTAAATCAGAAACAGCCGCATGCTACGCCATGGCTATTGCCCCTGCCACGGCTCGCCAGCGTTCGCCTATTTGCTTTGCTTGCTGCAGTAACGGCAATATAAACGTGTGGGACGTGCATAATCAAGTGCTTATCAGGTTGCAAATGGGCGGCTTTTTTTTATTATTGTCGAGGATGCTTTCTTTGAACGGAATTTTTAGTAAAAATTTTTTTTACAGATCTTTTAAAGGACACGATGAAGGCGCTTCCTGTGTTGATGTCTTTAGCGATGGCAGTAAACTGGCGACTGGCGGGCTCGACCGGTGCGTCCGCGTGTGGGATCTCGCAGAAGATTCCGAGATTCTCCAATATCCTTTTGAGCATAAAGTTTTTGCGTTGGGCGTTTCTCCTACTTCCAATTTCCTTGCTGTGGGGTTCATATATGTTTAAAAACTTTTTTTATTCACGTTGAAATTTTTATCTTACTTAAAAACTTTTTCTGTTTCTAATTAATTGCGAAAGTAGTTATGTGGAACTTTTCGATCTTTTTAAGATCTTTTTTCTATTTTCTTTAGTTTATAAAAGAACGTTTAGAAATTTAGGATCCTACTTAAAGCCTTTTTTTATATTTTTACATAGCCTTGAAAGTATACATATAGCAGTTTTTGATCCCTTCAAGTTCTTTTTTTCTTTTTTTATTCAAACTCGAATTCGAAGTTATTATGCAGAATTATTTATGATATTCAAGAACTTATTTATATTATTATATAGTCTTAAAAGTAATTATAATTTTTTATTCTTAATTTTGTTTTTTTAAAAAGTATTAGGTTGAGGTTCATGATCCTATTAAAAAATTTTTTTAATATTTAATTTTAAAAGTTAGTATGAAGAAGTTTGTGAACCCTCTAAGAACTTTTTTTATATTGTTATATAATCTTAAAAGGAATTTTGTGCAAAGTTTTATTCTTATTTAGTCCTTTGTCTCTAAATAATATTATTTAAAATCTTTTGTAGAAGTTTTAGATCTTATTTAATTTTTATTATTAATAATCACAAAAGTTATTACGTAAAAGAGTTATTTTTTCACTATAAATTATTTTTAAAAGTATTTATGTGGAAGTTTCTGGTCTTATTTTACCTTTTTTTTTCATTGAGAAGTCTTTGAAGAAGTTTACGATTTTATTTGCAATTTATATATAACTACAAAAGTAATATGTAAAAAAAATAATTTTATATTATAAATATAGTCTCAAAAGTAATTATGTGGAAGTTTTTGACCCGAAACATACGCAGCGCGCTTATCGTTTGGTTCTCCATGAAAATTGGGTTCTTTCCTTAAAGTTTTCTTCAAGGGGGAGATGGTTTACCACTACAGGTTACTCTAATTTTGCTTAAAATATTTGGGTTTACACCTTTTTATTAAATTCTTTATATTTATAAGAATATTAAGATTCGAATTTAAAAATACAAAATTATGTAATTTTTATAAACACGTATTCACTTTTTTATTATTTACTTTCATAATTTTTTTTCTGCTCTGCCTTTTTTCTTGGTCATTAGGAAAAGATAAAATGTTAATGTCCTGGCGAGCGCCTTATGGTGCATGCTTGTTCCAGGTTTATTTTAATTATTAAAACTTTTACTATTATAAAATTCTACTCAATAATTATTTTGGTTGTTCTGTATTTTCACTTTTTTTTAAATTAGAAGAGACAATCTGATTCGATTTTAAGTTGTGACATTTCGCTGGATGATCGCTATATTGTGACTGGTTCAGAAAAAAGGGCTACTGTATATGAACTGCAGTATTAGCCCTCGCAAAGCACAAGTCTGTCTCATCAATTTTTTTCATTTTAATGTTTTATTATAAAATATGAGTTTTATATTTTTATAAATATTTAAATTTTTTATTGTATTTGTTTGTGCAATGCAGGAGAAGCGTAGATAAAAAGAAATTCTTGAGCGTCTTTTCTTGCAACTTTAAAGTTTCCTGGGCGAGTACGGCATCACCAATACTCGAAATTATATAAATGCTATTCCTTTTTTATTATCATTTTCAATGCCTATTTTAAGTTTGATTTTAAAAAAAAATAAAAATAGTAGTGTATAATTTTTTTTATTTACTTTTGTTTAAGTGTTTTTCGATCAAAACATTGACACTAGTTGAAGAGCATTTAATAACTTATTATTATTATTTATTAACTATTTTTATTTTTTTAAACTTTTTTTTATTCATATCTTATACTTAAATTATATTATTTATTATTTTTACTGTTAGTTGATATATGAAAGTAGTACTAAATAAAAAATAAAACATTAAACTTAACACCCCTCAAAGAATACGTGGCGACAGGAGAAAGTTAAAAAGAACTGGGAGCTTTATTATTATTATTATTCTTATATGATTTTTGCATCTGCTCGATATATGAAGCACAGACTGCTTAGTTTTCCTAATAATTAAAATTATAGAATGTAGTTCAAGTAGAGTTTCTGCAGATCTTTTCCTTTTTTTAAGGTTGGATTTAATTGTACTTTACACGTTTATATATATGTTTCCCCTCACGCAGGACATACAATTTATGCATCGCTACATAGTAAATCGGGATTTTAGAATTTATTCTACCAAATTGATTACCTTACAATTAGTATAAGAATAGAAGTGAGCTGTGTAACGCTTGGAAGAAGGTGAGAGTTACCTTTAAGTTACAAAAGAAAGGTTTAAGTAATTAATATTATTATATATACTTGATATTTTAAAAAAAAAATTTATTTTTATAGTCACTTTTATGCTTTATATTTATATAATATATACTTGCAATTTTTAAGTAATAATATGTTGATTTGATTTTTTTATTTTATTTTATAAAGTTCGATAAGAGTATAAAGAAGTGGCTTTTCTTTCTCAGATAGACCAGCTCGAGCGCTGCTCTACTAAATTTAAAAATTCATTTTATCAAAAAAGCATTTATATTAATTGTAGTACAAAAAAATTTTATTAGAAGAATTTGTATTACAATTTTCTGAAGGATACTTGCTAAATAATTTCAAAAATTGTCTATAGTTTCTTAATAATTGCCCTATTAGAAACGTCGCTGAATAGTTATTAGTAGATTTAGTCCTCCTTTACTTGTAGTGACGCTATTTATAAAATTATGAAATGGAATTAAGATGACTAATACTAAATTATATACGAGCCCAGAAACGGGACAGCTACATGTAGGTACCTTATTTTGGCTAAAGTGAATAAATTTGAAATCTAAATTTGCATAACAAAGTAGTAAGCTACAACAATCTAGTGAAATAAATTTTGCTTATAAAAAAAAGTTCGACACGAGGGCGCAAATTAAAACTCTCTAGTTTAAATTTTATTAGCGTTAACAAGTTTTTTAAAGCTATAGTGATATACAAGTTCTTTTTTATTTACAAAGCGTGATTTACACATTTTTATGTACCATCTACTTCTTGCACTTGCAGAGTATCGTGATTAAATTATTAAAAATTAATATTTTATCGGCGCAATAAAGGTTACCATTACTCTCTTTTTTAGTTCTACGGTTAGAAATAGAATTTATTTATCAAGATCGCGAATTAACCTACTTGACAATCTTGATCAGCTCATTTTATTTTAGCTTAACTCCTTTTTTCGTTAAGTTACTTAAGAAGTTTTGCTAATGTGTTTATATGAGTTGACTTTACTATTCAGCAGTTTTTTTTTGGAGTCCTTTTTACTAAGCAGCATATTCATCACACTGAGTTAAAAATTTTGTTTAATAAAGATATATTATATGCTTTTTCGTTTGAAAAAAACTTAAAACTCGTACCTCCTCTAAAAGATATATGCATTACCTAAAAACAATTATTTCCATACCTGAAGATTTATAAAATGTTTTTAATTTTTTAAAGCAACTAAAAGTATAGAACTGAGCTGTTACTGTTTTCGGTGCCTTCATGTAGATCTAAGTTACGTAAGCTCTTCAAGAAATTGACATAAAGCTAAATAAAATACTATTCATCTTTAATAACTTACAAATATTTTTCATTTACAGTTGTAAAAAGGCTAAGTTTTTAATCCAAAGCTACTAACGTATTTTTATAAGTTTTATTATTTAATCCGAAGCTGATAAATAAGCAAATCATAGAATTACCTCTTCCAGAATTGTTGTTTATTTTAATGCATACCAAGAAAGCACAACGAATATAACCGAAAAGGGAGTTTTAATTCATTAGAAATAAAACTTAAAAGATTCTTAAGTTTAAATAATCTGTTGTGGACTATTAAGCAACTTTTATAATTAGCTTAATGCTGCATTTTTAAAAACTTCATCTCACTAAAGTGGCAATAAAATATTCGTGTAATTTTGTTCCTTTAAAATTTCTTTTTTATGTGATAGTGATGTTTTTAGTATTTGGAATTTATTTAGTTTATTGTCTTATTAAAAGTGCAGTATAAAGCTCAGCGCTTTTTTTTTACTAAAAAAAGCGTGATGAATATTACAGTACCGATCCATGGCGGGTCTATAATATAATTAATTATGAACAATAATACAAACGGTAAAAAAAGATTAAGGCCTAGTCAAAGTAAAGTCACTAACTTTTAATATTATTATTTGCTCTCAGATAATGATTGCTCAGTTGGATTAAGAATACTTTAAAGAAATAATAATTGTAAATTTTTTGAGTGTTTATAAATTATAATCCAATTTATTTACAAAAATAGACTCGAAAGAAGAAATAAAACTTAAAGTTGAGATTATTTTTGGTCTGATATGACTTTTAAAAGTCGTAATAATATAAATTGAGAGCTAAATTATTATTACTATTAAGGGTTTAAATTCTTTCCTTTGTAGCGTAATACTTTTATGAACTTTAATGATGGGAAAGCCTGTAACTAGTAAAATTTATGTTCAAATTTTTTGATACAAGCAATTTTTCCTTACTTACGTTTAGGTTTACTGAGAAATCTGTAAAAATCTATATAATAAAAATTAAGTTACATCAAAAATATTTTACGAAAACTTTAAAAAAAAATAGCCTAATAGAGTAAATAATTTTTAAAAAGGTACTTTTTTGCATGAGAGTTCTTTATTTGTGGAGGGGCTTAACCTAGACAAGAGCGTGTGATAATTATTAGTTTTAAACAAGTTCCAAAGGAAAAACTATACAAACAAAAAGTAATCAAAACATAAGTTAAAATTCATCCAACCTTGTATATATTATTTAATTTATAAAAATAAGTTAAAAACCGAATTAGTTTAAGTAGAGAAAGTTATTAAAATCTAAGTTCAAAGTAGAAAAACACAGATTTACAGGAACTAAAAGGACAAAAAGTTAAAACAAATATTCATAACTCGACTATTTGTCAGTCTAAAACAGACAATTTAGTTTTTACTTTTTATTTAGTTAAAAATATCTAGCTTTCACTGAAACAAGTCTATTCATAAAATTAAGCTAACGGCCATAAAAAAGTTAATTACACACTTGAACAAGTATTTCTCCTGGTAACCTTAATACTTTAACTAGTGTCTGTTCTGACCTAAACGAATATGACTTGGAAAAAGAGAGGAGATGCAGTTATTATTACAGTTATTATCGTATCTTCTTAGTGACTTGGGCAGATGATCTGTAAAATCGAGTGTCGACTGCTTAATTTTGCTAAAAACTTTATTTAATTTTTAATATCCGCATTTATTTTCCATGAGTTTTTCGTCAATTTTTTTAAAAAAAAAATGTATTAGAGTGATACAATCCAACAGAAAAACCGAGCTAAACTTAATTGGAAGAAAACAAAACATCGCATACATGAGCAGTGGTTCTATGCTCCATATACCTGTATTTCTCCGCATCATTTTTAAAAAACTGAACCAATCTTTTAAAATTTTTCAGACAAAGGGTAGTCCAAATTTTAATTTAAAATATATTAATTTTTTTTAGAGACTGAGTAAAAATTAAAACCTAACGAAGCTCTAAAAACTTTCTAAGTAAGGTATTCAACAACCTCAATACCTGTAATGCCTGACAATCAAAGTTTGTCGAAGTAATGAGGATGAGGTTAAAACACGGAGTCAGCGAAAACCGAGAAGGAGGTCGCGTCAGTGGAAAATCGAACTCACTGCTTTAAGTATGCGCTTCATGGCGCTTAGCCGCTGAGCTACGATGGCAACTCCCAATCCAGGTGAGAAAACTTTACTTGTTCAACCTGTTAAGGTTAGCATTGACTTGCGCTCATGAATAATGGTAATTTAATAGCGCCTTGTCAGGCAAGATTCTTAGAAAGCGAGCATAGTTAATATACAATGTTTAAATCGTAGTAAATCCGCTTAATTACTACCTTATTACGCCTTAACTAGTTTAAGCATCTGTTATCGTTAATAAAATAGTAGTTCACTATGAAAAACTCGACCTTGAGTGTTGCCCGGCGGAAAGTAATACTTATATTAACCCTGCGTTTTCGATTTAGAGGATTAACAATTTGGGTTGAAATGTCTAGGGGTTTTAACTTAATTCCACTACTACCTTTTTAGTAACTTTTTCACCAACAAACGTGCTTATTTATGCTTTCGGACAGTGTTATGATTATACTTTTCTGGTGATTAAAGACAGGCATAAAACACCCACTTACTCTCTTGAAGCTTCTACTTTCTTTTTATGAAGCGACATTTCTGCCTTCAATGAGTCTACTTTCAAGTATCTTTAGTAAAACCAGCTTCAAATATACGTTTTGTTGTAAATATGGAACACTTTAGAGCTTCGTTTAAAATAATCTAATATCTTGTCTTACATCAAAACCATCTTTACTCCTTTTTATAATTTCTATTACGTCCACTAATTAAATAGTGCGATGACTTTTACGGTCACCCAAATACCGTTTACCACCCTTGTTTAATCCAGGAATAATTTTGATAAACTTCGTTCCGTTATAGTGTACATGCCCTACCACATGACCATAGTTAATATAATCAACAAGCATTTTTCTAAAAGTCAGCGCTTTATAAATGTAAAAACATCTAGTACGTACCACGCAAACCTAGGCATACATCTATTATTGGGTAAGCTTAGCAGGGAATCCACCGTATTCAATAGCTTTCGTTATTTTTATAAACCTTCAATCTTAGTTCTTTTCTATACAAGAGGCGCAATAGAGTTTTCTGCCGATTTACCAAAAAATTCACTCATCCTCTCCTTTTTACTGACCGAAAATGTCAGAATGCATTGTGCCGTTATATCCGGCAAGTAAATGACTATTTGAAGTTCTGATGGAAGTCAGCTCTATACCGAGGGCTGGTTTTTACGCCTCGTTATAAATTTTTCCTTCTTGAGGGCCCTAAATAACCATTTTACTACAAGTGCGCCCCATTTTCCGGGTTCTTCGACGAAGTTAGCACGAAAGGGCTTTTATGAATTATACCAACATTAAAATCTTGTAAATGACCTTTTTTATATGTAACTCGTTAAATTCCCCAATTTTTTTTTGTCATTAAGTATATGATAAATAGCGCTAATTTCAAGATAACTTTAAAAAAAACATGTTATCTTTATTCGCTTTTCAAGCTTATATATGTTCATAAGCATCCATTTTTTTTTTCTTCTTAAACTCGTAAACCGTTAGATGCAGTTCAGCAGTACCCTTTTAAAGTATTGGCCTTCTTTTATTCTGTTTAATCGTCTTCAAAGAGAACACCCAACTCTAAAGAGTTAAGAACTAATTTCTTAAGGTATTTAATTCTAACATTAGTTAATTCTTATCCTTAACGTTAATCTTTGGGTTCATTGTGTGAAAGAAGGTATCTCTTATCGTTTATAATATGGTGTTAGAAAAGTGCAATGGGCTCTCTGAGGGAGAAGTCACAAGGTTTAGTCAATTTCAGGGCCCAGGTAAAACTGAGGTGGTTAACAGTTCTTTCTTATAAAAATCCATTTGGAGCACAGAAGTCGAAGGGTTATCAAAAAATGCTAAAAAAAAGTTAAATAAGAAATTGCGTAGAGCCCAAACTAAAATTTCATACTTGGAAATAAGGAGAGAACTACGTAAAAAAAAGAGGAAAATTACTACTCTTAAAAGAAGGGAAGCACTGCAAAAAGGTTTTTTTATATTAAATAAATTATTTATTAAATTTTAAAAGTATTTTTTGTTTAATATTATAATTTACTTTAAACATTACTCGGTCAGGAGAACCTGTTAAAAAAAAGAACGTTATAAAGCGGATGGCCGATTCTATGAGTACACAAAGGATAGTAATTGACTTAAATTACGAAAACTTCATGTCTGAGAAAGTAATACTTCTCGCTGTTACTAAAATTTCTGTTCATAACTTTTCGCTTTTAGGAAAGAATGAGCCTAGCAAAACAGCTGGAATTTTGCTACAGCTCTAATAGATATAGTGCTCAGCCATTTCAACTCTACTTTACTTCTACTGTGGATATTATAGTTTCCGAAAGATTCGTTCAAACCATTCCTTATTGGCGTTCTTGGGATGTAATTTATTTTCCACTTCGCTTATAATTAAAAAGCACGTTTTACTTACTATCATAAGGTTTTTTGGAAGAATGAAAATTTTATGCATCTTTTTAAATCGGAGGATTTAGTTTACCTCACGGGCGGTCAGTTATAATCCAGTTCTCTGCCACACACATAGAAAATAATATTTTATTAGACTAGTGTCATTTTACATTTTTTAGTACAAGGCCTTGTAGAATACACAGTATTACAGACTTTTCAATAAATTTCTTCAATCTCTATTTATTTATCTAAGTAACACTTTAATTATTATTTACGCTCTATATACACATTTTTTTATAGGCCGAAAGTTTTAGGGCTGCAATAGTGAATAATTTTCTCATCATAATGTCCGCTTTGCCTATTTTTTTTAATTTTAGTGATTATTATGTTTCTTCTAGATTCACCAAACATTCTTATCGACCTGGATCCAAAAAGTGTTTATATTATTGGTGGACTCGTAGACCACAATAGACATAAGGTGCCTTGCCTTGTTATTTATAATGTGAAAACATTTTTTAGGTTAACTGAGTTTTGTTAAGTTATGATCCTGTAAAGTGCTATTCAGTATCTTTTGGGATGCTCTCCCTAACGTTACTAATATGTAAAAGGGTCTAACTTTAAGGCGAGCGGAATCTTGCGGAATTCGCCACGCTTGTCTTCCCATTGCCGAACACTTGAAGTTATCCTCTAGTAAGGTTTTAACGGTGGACCAAGGTACCTCTTGTATGAAAGGGGAATCTTTTGGACTAAAGACTGTTTTATATTGTTTCTTAGTTTTTAAAATCCTTGTGGAATTTCAAAACTGCAACGATTGGTTGGGAGCCCTTTTAGCTGTTGTGCCTTCAAGAAAGCTACTTCGCCTCAACTCTGGAGACCATCCAACGGTCGAAACAGAAAAACTTGCTTAAATTTCACCTCTGTAGTCAACCTGCTATTTCTTTCAAACTACCTCTACTTTGCTGCCCTTCAGCATTTTTCCAGGGGGTTTTTTTATTCAGGTATTGCTACTCTTTTGTCTAAAAGTTTTTTCCAATAAAGATTTCAAGGCCTTTTATTCATTATTTTGGGCCTCCCCCAACTTTATTATATAAAAACCACGCTTATGATAGTTACATCTGAAACGTAAGGAATTGTTCAGTTTTTACCTTATTTGGTTTACCGGCCTCCTTAGAAAGAAGTGAAAATATTTTTAAACATCGTTAAAGATAAAGTTATTACACTCTTCAAAGGTAAATGGGTTAATAAATATTTTTAATATGTCTACAACTCTACCTTATAATAGCTTTCTTCTCCTAATAATAAGACTGTAAAATTGTCTTTTTAAGCTTAAACTTTCTGAACACAACAATATTCGGTCTTACTATGAAACCTTATATAACACGGATTAAAATAACTTAAATATGTAAATAGGAAGAAAGGTATTTAAGCTAAGGTAATGCTTGCGATAATTTATTCATTTTATTTATTAATGGCATTTCCTGGTGAGCGAGCGAGTTAACAACGAATACACGAGCTCTCAACAGGTTTTTGGTCGTCCACAAGTGCATATAAAATTATTATCTTGATGTGTGTCTTGACGTTCACTTTAGACCTCCTAACTTAGCTTTCAACCGTCATGCTAAGAGTGCACCGTCCCATAACTTGTAAGTGAGTTCTTCCGCTAATAGGCGATTAGCATGTCCAGCCATCCGTTCGTAGAGGGCGACGATATCATTTTTAAAAATGTGGCCAGTAGCTCGATCCGTAGTTCGTGGTGAAGTGCATCTTTGCGTACGAACCATGGCGCGTTTGTTAAAAGGCCCAGCAGTTTGTTTTGTCGCACTTGAAGTGAGGACGTTATTGTCGATAAGTCATAGGCCCAAGTAGGGGATGCATCTGTCATAATCGCCGAATACACAACACCTAAAGTCTTCACTTATTGCGCAACGAAAGTTTACTTTTGCTACGTAATAGAGGATATAGCATCTTGGTCGCAGTCTAGACCTTCGCCGCCACGAAATTTACGTGTGGGAGCCACGACAATTTAGAATCTGTAGAGACCCCCAGCTAATTTATCTGAGAACGCCACGGAATCTCCATGCCGTTAAAAGTTAACCAAATCGGCAGCGCATGGTGTTTCTTCGTTATAAGAAGTACCTTGTTCTTTGCTACATTAACAGAGAGGCCCAATTGACGACACCAGCTAGCAAGCGCGTTGAGATACCATTGTAAGTACTGATATACTAAACAGGTGACTTGTACGAAGAAAAGATCATTGTATCATCGGCGTAAATGTCAACCCGCGGATGAGGGCGGGCCGGGAGAGCAGGTTGCGATAATATATTACTATTAATCAGTTGTAGGACATGGGCGAAAATTTAGTGTGTCCATAATAATAAAGATAATTTTTTACTTGTTGGGCCTCCTCAACTTATAAGCTTGCTTATGTAGATTGAACTTTTTCAGTTTAGCATACGTGTAGTATGTCAGGAGCGTTGCTTATCCCTCTTAAGTTTTTACGGCGCGTCGGCTCGGTGTTCTTATTGAGTTTCTGACAGCTCAAAGTCTTAACCTAATATGCACCTTTTTATTCTCTTTAAAGGGAACTTTTGGAGAAGTTTTTGAATGCAAAAATGCAAAGGATGAAAGTGTAGCAGTAAAACAAATAAAAATTGATTCTCAGTCCTTAGGTACATTACAATACCAGATACTATATATTTATTACAACAGAACACTTTGTAAATATGTTGTACTGTAAGATCTTCTGTTGGAAAGTTTTGAACGTAAAATTTGCACCTTAGCATGTCTATAAGAAAAGAGTCTTTTCAACTAGTTCTAGGGGTCCGCAAATAAACTTTTGAAAAGAGGTTCCGATATTAACAGCCCTTTCTAGGCTTTCCAGCGTCAAGCTTGCGAGAAGTTGCTATTTTACAAGAACTGAGACATCCCAACATTGTTCGGTAGGAGCTTAATATACAAAAACCACTTTTAACAACCTACAATTACAGGCTTATGGACGTATATCTGAGTGAGTGCATAATTTACCTTGTATTTGAATATCTTGACTGCGACCTGCGTGCCTTCTTATCTAGGACTAAAAAAACCTCTAAGGAATTGCAAAAAGTATATGTATTTGACCTCGCCAAATTTGCAGTTAATAGTCCCCTTACTACACTTAGAGCTTTTTTAAACAAATACTTAAAGCAGTGGCTTACTGCCACTCTCATTGTGTCATTCACAGAGATATAAAACCAGAGAACATACTAGTGAGTTCGGTAACTAAACAGAAAGATTCGAATAATCAGTTTGAACAGTTGTGTCTCAAAACTTAGGAAAGGATTATTAAACTGGCAGATTTCGGTCTTTCAAGGACTTTTGAAATCCCTAAGCGAACTTACTCCCCTGAGGTACTTTCCATGATTGATTTAAAGAGCTGGCGACTGGTATCTAATGGCGCTAACAGGTTGCTTCGCTTTGGTGAGGGGAACTTAGAAGTACCGATAATATATGTTTCAACTTCTAAAAAAACAGGTATCGCAGCATTGAAATTTTACTAAGCGATGGAGAATACTCAGCGGCAGCAGACATATGGAGCGGTGCGTGTGCGCTCGCAAGTGTTCTGTCCTTTCTACCCTTTGGCGTGCAAGCTATTTTTAGATACTATAAAATTATATTAACTACCTTTCCTTACTGTGCAATGTAAATCTTCATTTCTCAATAAAACTTTTAAAAGCACACTTCTTTTAGTGGGCTGTGTATTTGTGGAGCTTTGTGGTCACGACGCCCTCTTTCCCGGAAAACGATCAATGGACCAAATATTCATCATTGTGCAGTAAGCTTCGTCGTTATTCCCAGGAAAGTGATAACACATTTTTTTCTAAAGAAAGCTTGGGACCAAAAATATTAAACTTCTGCACTTGCCTTCATTTGTTTCACACTTGCCCGATGTAATAAAAAAGACAAGCTAGATTGCAACCAATACTTTTATATAGTTCGTACTAATAGTTTCCAAGTCCTTCCGGGAGGATAGTTAAAGGAATGAACGAAGTGGAAAATGATCTTCTTTTGGTAAACTCTTTATGAAATTTAACTTTTATGTAAGGGTTGATGGATTGACTAGCGTATGCTTCAATATGACGTGAAAGAGAGAATCACTGCAGGTCAAGCTCTAAGGCACCAATACTTTGACAGTTAATATTAAAAAATTTCATAGATTAACAGGATGGCGTAAAAAATTTTGTATTGTTATAACTTTTTTTTTTAATTTTACAGGCAACACTTTATGCTCAGTAAAACTGCATACTCTTATGTATATTTTTTCTGTTTTAGAAAGTGTATTATAGAGTTACTGTACGATTATAAGTGTTTTTGCTGTAAAAACCGTATGCAAAAGTTAAATACTAACTCTCAGGTACATCAAAATCATTATTAACATTTAAGTTTTTTATCACGTAAATTTGAGAAAAGTATAATGCTGGGGCTCAACATTACATACGAAATAACGTCTAGTTTTAAAAACTTTTCTTTATGAATAAGTTTTGCAAACTACTCTCGAGACTTGGTAAGCTCTTATGCCTTGACTCTAACCAATTAGTGCATCCGGTTTATATGTAAAGTGACTACGTAAAGTGAAGAAAAGTTCTCGTGTACTCCTATAATGATCAAGTAAAATAATAACACTGTAGAGAGGGATTTTAACTTTTATTTTTTAAAGAATGCACCCCGAGACAATCATTTATCACAAATTACGAGTCTCTGCAGTTCCACCGTTTTCGGTTGCTGCAAAAGATTATTAGTTTACCCAAAGTAGAGAAAGGCATAAAAAAAATTTTTTTTTAATGTTCAATACAACGAAAGTCACCTTACCTACCACTCTAATAAATTGTCCGCTATAAGCAGCAATCCAATTTGAGCGTAAAAGTTGCCTAATTTTGGGGGTTAATATAGAAGAGGTCGACAATTTTTATATGGCCGTTATTTTAGTTGGCTGCCTGGCTTTGGTGTGCCGGCCGGTGTTTCCCTGCAAAGTAATGTCTTAAAATAGGTTAATAAACAGATCTTGCGTACTTCGTACTTTTTTAAAATTGTGTTAATATTAAACTTATTTTCACTACTCTCTAACACTATTTGAGTTTAAAAACTTGACAGTTGTAAAGTTTTGCCATGTTATCAGTCATATCCACCACACCCAGAATGATTTGTGGAAACAGCTTTAAATTTTTGGCCTAAGATTTAATATTGTTAATAGTATTTTATCTGACCTTCTTAACCTCTTTCCTTTTGCCTGAGCCTTAAACTTTGGTTCTTTACTACCCCTTTAGCCCATGTAGCATACTTTTTTCAATATATTCTATCTATATAATTTTCTTTAATTATACACTTCTTTGCAGTACGATACAATTGTCATGGAGCCTTTCAGGGTAGGGAAATATATACTAGAAATATTATTTTTTACGTAGCTTAAATTTTAAATATAAAGTGAAAATGATTATTTGCCTCCTCTTTCTCCCCCAGTTTTATTTACTTTTTTAATGATTATTTTCAACCTGTCTATTTTAATTTATTAAATATGGTATCCTAGTTATTGTAAAAAAATATACTTCAGCCAACAGTATAATATCATTTCAAGTGGGGGGAAGCCTGTACCTCTAGATCGGTATCTTCGTTGATTATATAATATTTTTTACGTCTGAGAAATAATAAATTGTTAAATGTTTTCTGTGAAGATAACTTCTGGACAATAAACTAATTTAGTCAGATATACAACAGTTATTACCATACTAAACGAATTAATAGTTTTAACTTATACTCTTCATGGTGTTTTCTCAAAATCACTTGTTATCATTGTAAGCTAATTGCCCTTTCTTCCGCGAATTTCTTTACTGTTTATTCGTAAATAGCATATTAAAAACATATAATCTGCGTTATGTATAATAAGGACATTTTTTAACCTGTCCCATGTTTCAATGTTTTATATAATTTAATATAAACTGCACAATTATTATAATATTGACCTCCGGCCTTTTTAAGTAATTTCTAATAAGGCAGTACTATAATTTGTATTATGTGATATAAACCAAAAATGGGTTTACACAACATACACGTCACGCGAATTCAATTCCACAAAATTCTTCAGCACCAACTTTTTTTTTGTAGGCCTAAATTTCTAATCACATGAACTTCAATGTTATAACATGAAGGTTTTCAACATATTAAACGTATTAAATAATTACAAAAGACATTCACACATAAACGCCGACGTAGTAAACGATACGACACCTTTACTTAAAACAATTTTACAAGTTGAAGAGCATCTCTTCGTCAGAACGGCGCTTCTAACCATATTGAATGCATTATTAACCGAGACCACTGGTTAACAGTGCTCTTTCACAAACTTGTTCAATATTACAACTCTTTTATTTCCTAGCATACGTTCTCAAAAAATTGTTTATCAAAAAATTTAAAAAACTTTTGCAGTAACTTAGTGCAAGGTAGCGCATAGGGGCGGCCTACCCCGACCCGAGGAATAAAACTAAGCATCCGTTTGGAAAAAGTTTATGTTAGTAGCGCAAAACATTCCTTTGTAAAAAAGGTTTTATAATAGGCAGTGTAATCCTATGGTATATGGATTTTTAATGTACCTATATAGGAAGGTAAGAAAAAAAATCTTAGCGCTATATTTGTAGAAGGGAGCCCCATAAAAAGACATTACTAATGTTGAAACTGTGCGATATGGGTGGTCAAAGTTGCTGTTTTTCGCAGAAACGTGCGGTACTCGTGCTATAAGGCACAATAGCTAATTTGTCCGTCCTACTGATTTTCTTTTTAACTAGGACCATGGTTGCTTTGGCTCTTTTAAATTAAATTTTGCGCTTTCTCCTAATATTTGTTATTTATTAGAGTTACTACTATACTAATCAAAATTTTTAATTATAATTTTTTTATTTATTTTACCTTGTATCTATAATATGAGTATAAAAATACTCGTAGATTAAAGAAATTTACTTTCAACGGTAGTTCAGTTTACAGCACTTTTTTATAGTTATTTAATAATACTAATAAAATGTTTATGTTACAATATTTGTAGTTTTTATTAAATAATATAAATCGTTGAGTTAATGCCTGGATATTACTACTCTAACGTAATAAATAATTTTTTAAAAAAAATATAATTTCAAAAGACAATGGAGGGAATGAAAAATCCTATGCAACAGCTAAGAATAGAAAAACTTTGCCTAAATATTTGTGTGGGAGAATCGGGTGACCGTTTGACTCGTGCTGCAAAAGTTTTACAGGCTTTAACAGATCAGCAGCCCTGCTTTTCGAAAGGTGTTTATCTACTATTATTATTAACACTCTACTTATCTTTTCGATATCTAGCCACCCATACAATCCGTTCTTTTTCAATCCGAAGAAATGAGAAAATTGCCGTTCATTGCACCGTTAGAGGTAAGAAAGCGGAAGAGATTTTAAACGCTGGGTTAAAAGTTAAGGAGTACGAACTATTAAAAAAAAACTTTTCCGACACTGGAAATTTTGGGTTTGGCATCCAGGAACATATTGATCTCGGGATAAAGTACGATCCTGGCATTGGTTGGTCCTCCTATTTTTATCTTTTTTTTGTTAGTTAACATTTTTAACAGGGATCTACGGAATGGACTTTTATGTCATTATGACACGTCCAGGCTTTAGGGTTGCTAAAAAGAAACGATGCGCAGCGCGCATCGGTAAAAAACATCGGATAACTAAAGAGGATACCATGAAGTGGTTTGTACAGCACATGGACGGCACTATACGTTAAGCGTAGAAGAGATACCATATAGTAATAAAGTTGTTATTTGTGATTTTAAACATGGAGGTAAGTATTTATTATTAAAACACTGGTAGGTTTATCTGCTCTAGATAGTTTTCAACATTAACTTGGTTTTACCTTTACTGTTACACGATTACATCCTTCAATAGCTCTGTTTAGTGTAATATATTTATTCAAAGTAATTTTTAAGAAGGTATATACACCTCCTTAGGAGGCTCTTGACCGATATATATTGTATATTGGTAATTATATATTAGACTACATAGCCTCCTTTTTTAGATGTTCTATAAAGCAGGGGATACAGTTTTGTATTATATGTTTTATCGCGCAACTTTAAAAAGTAGGCTTTGTTTTAAAAACTTCATATTTACTTTTTTTCTTTATTTAAAAATTTTCTAATTAGTGGCCTTCATTTTAGTGTATAATAGAGAATAATTATATATATGAATTGTAACCTTTTATGTGAGATAAATAGGAACTATTCGATTTCCGCTTAACCTACAATTTCCTTATATTAGTTTAGGAGACCCAAATTACTTTATTGCTTTTAAAGTTTATTGTTATTTCTACTACAGTTTAAGCATATCTATAACATTTGAGCTTTTAATTTAAAAAAGCACAGTCATGTGGAATATTTGGCTTTTTAAAGTGAGTATTTTTTTGACACCGTTGGGAGCACTCAATATTAAAGGTAACGGGCTAAGCTAAAGTAAATGGATTGAAAGGACCAATAAATGTCCAGTAAATTAACGACCCATCACGAAGTATTACATAACGTTGGTCAGCTTCTGATGGGTTAGAAGTTCATAAATGGGGGCTCTCTAGAAAGAAAGGAAGGATGCTCACCTCCCTCTAGCTGCTAACGGACAATTGTACTTATAATTTACTATCTGGCCTGAAAGCAGTTAAGCTTTTCATACAACACACTCGCGTTGCTTCTTTGCCCTGCACCTTTGAAAACTGGCACTGCGTTATTCCGACATTAATGTTCCTCGAGGCTCGCTCTCCTCGCACTGTTCATGCGTGATTTACTGGGAACGAATAAGGGTGTTGTTCCTTCTAAATTTAATTTTGACTTAACCTGATGTTATTTCCAATTTTTAAGCAGTTAAGGGTAGAAATACTTTTTGCCGGGCACAGAAAAAGGTTATAATAATAGTTGTGTTAAATTTGGTAAAGACCTAGTCGCCTTACACTTGTGACAGCCATCAGTCGTAAAAGGTAAGAAACGAGTCATCTCTAAGAAAACTACCCTTTAGCAAAACAATTAAAGGTCTGCTTATAAGGGTTGATATAATGTTTTTATAATCAAGGTATTTAATGAAACGTAAATATAAGTGATTCGGTAATATTTGCATGAAATTATATTTCCGAACAGTAAGAGCGGTTAACACATTTAATAAATAACAGGCATAATAGAAGAACATAAGTCTTATAAACTTAAAAACATGAAGGAGGCTATTAATAGTATATATTGTATAAAAGAATATTTTACTGGGGAAGAAACCACAAAATCCTGCAACTATACCAAAAAGTGTTCTACTCTGTACAGTGAAAAAGATGCTAGACATAAAAATCTTACTTACAATATACTTAAAAATAATATTGTTAAAACTCAGTTTTTAACAAAGGGAGTTCAAGTGCGCTACCGGAAAATATATTTCTCAGTTTATTGTATAAATTAAAATAATAATGGGTCAATAAAGTTTTGGTTATGAAGCTCTATAATTCAAAAAAGTTACTTAAGTAAATTTTATTTTTAATATCTCCCCAACAACTTCAAAGTAATTAATGCTCTTCTACTATTAATTTTACACTAAATGAAGAGTCCTTAAAAGCAGGTTCTGCAAAAGAGTTAGAGAGGAGCTCCTGGAATAAGATGCTAATTATATAATTAAAAAGACGGCCCGATGCTATAAATTTTGTAAAGGAAGCCACCCCCCTCAACACTCTCCATAAGGAAACAATTTAGATATCAAAACGATAAAGGAATGAATAAACTAAAGAAAAACTTTGTGGGGGCCTAAAAACTTACATTGTTTAGCGATTAAAAAAAAGTTTTCATATATCCAAGGGGGTAGTTTACGCAATTTGCCCAAAAACACTTGTTGGCCCAGTGTCAAACTAATAACCATTATGGACAATTACTTTGTAATAAATAAATATCATCGCCTTATGATAAATTAGTTGCTTCTTTGCGGTACTTAGGCAACTCATCATATATTGATTGCCGTCAATAGACCAGCAAAGTAACTTACAAAATATTGAGTGTAGGTTGGCATACAAAAATATAAAAGGAAGTTGGACGATGAGAATGAAAGCCCGACTAAGAAAAGGCTTCAGAAAGTAAGTCAAGCGTGAATCTATGCATATCTACGTTTGCTCTAGCGTCATAAGCTCGACGACAACGTAATCCGCGGAAGTCAGAAAAATTTAGGTAAAAGTATCGATTTATTTAAAAGGATATTAAAAATTATTAATATAACGCCTTATCTTAAAGAATTTATCAAATTAGAGACAAACTGTTATACTAAAAATTAAGTTGAGGTGCATACTATAAAGGGGCTAGAAGAGTGGTTGGAAAAAAAAATTCCTACAACACGTAGTTGAAGATTACTGCGTTGTCAAAATAAAATTTTTACATATCTATATCTCCTAATTAATATAATATGCGTTCGCAGTTTTATTGTTTTGTTAAATAAAGTGTTTTATTTACCAAAAAGGAGATCAGTAGTAGTTTACTTTTAGAGGAATTACAAAAAAGAAAAGCGAAGGGGGGGGGAGAAAGCCGATAAAGTTGGCCCTATGCATTAGGTGAAATTTTTAACTTGGACTATTGTGTTAATTATGGCTGCTATGTATCGTAACATCAAGTTCGGAACATAAAGTATAGGTTTATTATAGGAGCAAATAATAATTTAGTATACACTACAATTTGAAAAAAAAATTGAAGTTACTCTGACTCTTCTCCCCCTAATTACAGCTGCAATTAAGTTATTATTTTCGTTTACGATTTTCATAAATTTAAAAGACTACTACACTTTAAATTGGGTAGGCAAGTGTTTTTAGAACGAGCCATCGTGCAACAGTTAGGGGTTACTAGTTTGTTAGCTTCCTACTAGACTCGCATCCCTTTTTATTACTGTCCACTGCGGTCCATTGCGTGATGTTGTATCTGGAGGAATTTATAGAAAGTTAACGATTTCTTGAAATTTCTTACTCCTAATTATGGATTTATATTATATATTTAAGGTTTGGACAGTTTACCTGGAGAAATTGCTCATAATCTTAAAGGAATTAACAGATTAGATAATCAAGTAGAGGGCGTTATTGGTAACTTTATTTCCATTCTACCTTACTTCCTAAAATTTAAAGGAAAAAATCAGTTGCTCTAGAAGAAAGAATTTATGACAATTTTTTTGTAATAAAAAAACAAAAAACGGACACGAAGACCGAAATCATTAACTCTGTACACGTTTTTTCTTCCTACAAAGTAATACACTTCATAAGTTTCTCAAAAAAAACTTCTAAATAGATAAGGGAAGATTACGAAAAGGCGCTTAAATATTCTGACGAAAAAATAAACTTAGCTATTCAGAATCTCAACTTATTAGAGCGGCACACCAAAAGGCTAGAGCTAGATCTTAATAAGTTTACTCAAGAATTAGAAGCACAGACGAAAGGATTAGCTAGCGACTTAGAAAAGCGTTACATCTTTAACCTCTTTATATTTTTTAATATATTCCTTATAAAACCTGCAAGGCTCCACTCTTTTGGACTCTAGAAAGAACTTAAGTACCTTAACATTATTATTGAATTATTTTTGTATATATTATTTTCCTTCGCTTGATATATATTATTAAATACTAGCTGTAGAGTTGTAGTAAAATTTTTTTGTGCATAGAATTGTAGGGCGTAAAACACTAGTTCCTTTGACTTTCTCTCTTGCCCGTATACCGATCGAGAGGGCAAATTATTTTAACCTATACATAGCCAAGCGCCGCTACAGCAGACGCGAGTAGCAGGCTTTGTACGTTTGCTCAAGATTTTGTTTCTTAATTTAAAAAAGTTTACTCCCCTTAAATCTTTATACTTTTTAAAATTGCCTGATGTTTTAAAAAAAAGGCCGACCTTCAGGGTATGAAGAGGAGATTTTAAAAAAAATACGTCTTTCGTACGCTTCCTGCAGTTTGCTAGAAACTTTTCGCTATCGAAACAAGAAACAAAAGTATTTTTTTTTTTTTTAGCAAAAAGGAGCGAATAGAAACTCTTCTTGGTTTTTACTACAGAGCGGCCAAGCAGATCGTGACTGCTCCAAACTCGGTAGCCGTTACGACGGAGGGTAACCTCGGTCTTGAGCCCACGTGGTGCTTTTGTGAGGGGGTTCTTTTCATAACTCTTCTTTTTTTCTATTAATTCCTTTATTTACGAAATTAGCCGTCTCACAACGAAATGATTGGCTGTGATAACGATGAGTGCATCCGTGAGTGGTTTCACTACGCATGTGTGGGCATTACGGAACCGCCTAAAGGGAAATGGTTCACCCTCGACCGTCTCGTTTCCATTTCTTTTTCCCTGTTTAGGGCTGCTCAGGTACTGTCAGGAGTGCATCGCGACGATGGAGAGGCGCGATAAAAACAAGAAGCCGGATCGCTAATTATTGACTGTATGGTCAGCGAGACGCCTGAAGGCGCCGCCTCAATTCTTCCAAGGATGTCCGCATATGGCAGTCCTCAAGAGCAGGCATATGGATATCCTCGCGGAGACCAGTCATCACCGCTTCCCTGCACAAATTCTCTAGATCCGCGCCTGCGTGGGTCTTGAGCGCTAATAAAATGCCCTGCTTTGAGAACTGTTTAAGTCGTACCTGAGCAGCCTGCCGTGGCATCCACCGCCTCTCTGAAAATATCGAGGGTGAGATTGGAGGGGGTGTGTAATAACTTCGCTTCCAATATCTCCCCTCTAGCCTGCGTGGCCGTACAGCTCAAGGGAGTTGTTTGCGGGTTAGGACAGGCTTACCCGCTTGTCCGGAAGGGGCACTTCAATGTGAACCTCTAGCCGACCGGGACGCAGAAGAGCTGGGTCCAGTACCTCTGGGCGGTCCGTCGCTGCAGAAGACAAAGGGTTTTTACACCACCACTTGTCAAATTAAGGATCTTCATACTTGCCACGACCAACACGCTTTCGGGGGCAACTGAATTTCCAAAGATGCCGTCCATCTCTGTAGAGGCGGTTTAGCAGGAAAAAAATTGAACTCCAAAAAGGCGGAACCCGTAAGCAGACACGACAGAAGACGATCAGCCGATTGGTCCCCGTCTGCCGCCCGTTTTAGTCCGAGCACGTCGATCTGTACGGATTAGCGTCCAAAGAGCGTCCAATCTCTCTATTCGCTGCTGCGACCTGATCGAGGAGCAATACGCACGGCGCCGCCAGCCTGCAGCGCGTAAAGATCTTCGAAAGTATCTTCTCGCTTTCACCTACAATAATTATGAAGATGCGAGGAGTGTTTGTCCTAAAGAGCCCGACCTACAAATTTTGATCGAACTGAAGAGCAGTCGACGCGGACAACCTTCAACTGCAGCAAGTTGGCAAGCGCAAGCGCGATGGAAGTTTTTCCTATGCAAGAGTAGCGAAACTTTTTAGAGTGTATGGGGAGTTATAAGGCACGTGGTGCCTGTTCCTGGCTTTCCATTCAGCAGTAATCCTGTCGGAATGGTGCCACCAAGCTTTCTTAGGAGGCTTTGATTCTCCCATGGCAAAACAATATGAGAGTTCAGCATTTCGTATACATGAGAAATTCCAGCCAGTTCACGAAAGGTGAGCTGAGGGATCTGGTTTACCGTGCGCAGTGCAGGTTTGTTAAAAATACTGCCATTAGCGCAACCTTGGGTTGAAATTCAGCGAGTGCTGGTGGCGGTACGAGCTGAAGAGCCTTCTCGAACTCAAATCGACCTACCACGAGGCTATTTTTTGTTGGCTTTTATAATTAAGTCGCGAAGTTTAAGAAAACTTTGTATATTGACTTTAAAAAAAAACAAACCTCAGCTGTACGCTTTACAGCAAAACTTAAAGCAACCTTACATAGATGTTGCAAATGCGCTGGAGTATAACCGCTTGTGAACCGCAGCAACCATCTCAACAGTTCTCCTTTCTCGCTAACACTGAATGCAAAGTCTTCCTTCTTTTAATTACTGCTTACTTCTTAAAAATAACCAATTTACTTTCAAATAAACGGCTAAGTATTGCTTTTCGTTGATCGTAGTCGGGAGGAGAAATGCAGAGAACAGTGTCAAAGCGGCCGTACGCGTCCAGACCGGAATCACAGGCAGATAAGGACGGGCAAATAGCTGCTTCAATTTAGTTATTAACAGTAAACTAGACGGGGGACAATTAAAAAACAACCAATTAACAAAACTCGGAGGTCATAGTTTATTGATAACCCATCCAAGAACTTATAAAAAGTTTTCTTTAAACGTGATTCGACACTACTGACAAGACGATTCGGATATTCAAAAAAAAAATTACTAAAGAAACAAACCTCTCAACGAAATTAGTTTGGTTAGGAAGAAGCGATTCAAGAGTATCAATAACGATGATGCAAGCATTACTGTTTCGTATGAAGTTAAACAGTTCTTTGAGTTTGCCCTGGGCGCTTTCATCTCCTGTAAAAAGAGTTTTATGGGTACTTTACACAATAAAGTCGAAGGGTTTAACATAAGAAATAGGTTGAAAATTTTCTTAAGGTTTTACACCTTTTAAACACTTCAAAAAATTCTAAAAAGCGCCAGTAGTAAAGAAATTGCAAACAGCAAAGCAAAACTAATGGTTACCAAGTAACCGAGTTAAGATAACTTAAAAAAAAATAAAAAGTTTCATAACTCCTGCTATAAAAAGGGATCCTTCAAGCAGCAAGTATGGTACTCCATAATTTTCTAATTTAAATAACAAAATCCACAGGTTTTAGTTATGAAAATTTTTGGGTCGAACCGGCTATTGTTTTAATTAAAGAAGACTTCCCCACACCAGTCTCTCCATAGACACATAGGCTACGCGAGGGAGCCAGGTTAGCAGCTTTACAGTCTTGCAAGTACTGCGTGCTGTACAAGTTGAGATTTCAAAACTGGGTATACTCAAAGAAAGCAGACCTAAGCCCATTTCTAATAAAGGTCAAAACGGAGTTTACAAAAGAAGTGTGCCCCGGAAATTTCCTGCATACAACTTTTAGACATTTCTCTGGGTCGCCGTTTGAGTGATCAAGATAGTTACTTAGTAATGGATGTACGGCTGAAGTCTTAAGGCCTTTAATATTTTGCTGACATGTACTTATATATTCCATGGTTTCTTCGCCCGTTAAATAGTTAAATTCCGTAGATTCCTTAATTAAAAAAGAACATTCTTGCAACCGATCGCAGGGTGTACTTAATGATCCCTTAACGTCAATTACAAACAAAACTTCTTCGGAGCCGCCATACCAATCCGCAAAAATCATTTCTCCAACCTTCACATAGCGATGGCAGAGATACATCGTAATCAATCCTCTATTTATACGTCGACTCGGTGAAAGAGAAAAGATTAAAGGGGCGTCCCTTTTATAAGCAAGTCGGACGGCGAGAGTAAGGAGCACAGTATGAGCAGGCTGAACTAAAGGCATCTCAAAAGGAAAATGTTGAAGATTATTTAGAAAGGTAGGCTCGAGCGCTCTTAAAGTAAGTGTAGCCTTAAATAAAGGATTCAAGCAGGAAGGAGGAAGGCTCAAGTTATAACATAACGCCCTATTTATATAAACATCTCCGCAATCCATTACATACCCCTCGTCTTCCCCCAAAGGTCCTTCCGACAGTTGACTTTTACAAAATCTCACTTGAAGAACAGCTACTGCTGCAAAGTCCTTGTTAACTTCACAATCTAAAAATTAATTTAGCACTCTATAAAATTGAACAAAAAAGCAATGACTTTTCAAGCGGACGAAAGCAAAGGACCCGTTCTTAAAGTTATAGCTCTTAACAGCACAAGCTGGAACACAAAGTTTGTTATAGCTTTCATCCGATTCTAGAGTAGGGGCCTTTATAAAGCGAAATCTTCGGTGTTAAAAAAATTAAAAATTACCTTCATATTTTATAGTGCTAAGAAAAGTAAATGGTGTCATAATATTATGTTGAATAATAGTTGAAGTAAGAAAGAATTTAAACAATTCTTAACGTATAATTTAAAAATTTTCTAAAGTCTTACTTTTAGCTAATTTTCTAGTAGCCCAAATTTTTTAAAGACCTCTAGCGCCTGTCACCTAGGTCAACTGCCCACCGGACTTCATCTTAAAATTTTTTTGGGAGATATCACTCTCCTGGCGGTCATACTGCGTCGCTTGAAAGCATTTGTTGAAGCTAGCCACGCCCTACCAGAGTTCCAATTTAAATTTCGACAAGGACACTCCACGATTCAACTTCTTCACTTGACAGAGTGGACGACCTGTGCCTTCAATTTAAAGAAGGCAACGGGACCGTTTTCCTTGATGTCGAAAAAGCGTTTGACCGAGTTTGGCATAAGGGTTTGTTAATAAATTGCGCACCATAACCCTTCCTATTTTTCTTTTTCACGTAATCAAATTTTACCTTAAGGACCGCGTCTTTGATATACGTGTGAGCGATTCCCGCTCATTCCTAAGACCACTAACAGCCGGAAACCCAGAAGGATCTCTCTTCTATCACCCCTTCTATTTTGCACGTTATGTGCGCTACGTGTGACAACCTGACGACCTCCGAACGCAGATTTCCTTATATGCGGGACAGCGATTTACTTCTCGTCAAGTCACCTGCCCTACTACGCCAACAACTGCAGTACTATTAGTGACGCTTGCCAACTGGTGTCGTCATTGGTAAATTACTGTTAATGTGGAAAAAAGCAAAGCCCTTTTTATCACATAGAAGCGCACTACACCACTATCGCCGCTAACTTTTGAAAATAAGGTAATTTCTTGGTGTCCTGAGGCGAAGCACCTGGGGATTACTATCGACAATATGCTCTCGTGGCGGCCGCACGTAACTATATCGCGGCGAATTTAAAGGCGGCTGTTCGAACTCTTTACCCATTACTTTGTGCCTGAAGAAAACTCTTGCTGCACAACAAACAACTCTTGTATTTGTTGTGCATCCGACCGATCATGACATACGCGCCTACTGCTTGGGCCTAAGACTCACCGGCCATAGTCTCTTCGCTCCAAAAAAAACAAGCTGATACGCCTTATGACGGGCGCGCCGTGGTTTGTTCAACGATGCCATACATCAAGACCTCCAGTTTAAACCTCAGGGTTTGTCTACGCAATGCTATCGCCGTACGATCGGCTCAATCACCGCACCACTCGATTACTGACAGATGAGGTCCACTGAGAAATCTGCTCCGCCGCACCCTATCACCGACCGCGCAATGTACTCTAAATATAGAAAATGGGTTAGGGGTAATTATTTTTAAAATATATACACATGAGATTGTTGTGCGCTATCATTCTGATGAGAGCTCGTAAATTCGGTGTTTCCTTTTGCAACCCGATCTAGAAACAGTAAATATCATTAATAATAACAAAAATAAAATTGCTCTCAATATTTTCCAGCATCTCTACAGGTTTGGTACGTCACGGCCATCAGTGTGTACTTTCAAAAAGCATGTTTCAGTTGACTCAAAGTAGCAAAAAAATATCGAGTAATGTTACACCACTCGGCCTATTGTGGTGGAAAACCGTTAAAAAAAGTTTACTACCAAAGAGGTAAATTATAGTAAATTTAAAATACAGTTCCTGGATATTGGTAATGTTACATACTAATAACCTCCTAAACTTGTAAATTAATAGTAATTCCCTGAACCAATTTATTGGCTGTTTTTGTTTTCATACAACTTTATTTATGCAAAAAGTAACTATAATGATAAGCTGGCCTATATTTTCCTTAATAAAAATCCACTAAACTTATGGTCCCTGCACAGTTTAATATTACTTTTTGGCAAAATAACACTTTTTATGTGAAGTACTTATCACACGCAAAGTTATCTGACGTGCCTTAATTAATGTATACCTTACAGATTACATATTTCTTGCGACCTTTACGTTAACTAAATAAATTAAACTAAAGTTCATATCAGTTTTTAGGGATATAACCTCTCTAGTAGGGTGTATCGAAACTTCTCTTTTTCTTGGCCGCTTCTTTTGGTTAATTAACAATATACTCGAAACTTAAGAACTTGTAATTTTCTAAGATTATTTATAAATAGAAGCTTGGACTTTTAGTTACAAGTTATATGCTCTTTTAAATATATTATCAGAGTTGAGGCTTTAATTGTTTACTTCAAGTAAGAGCAAGTTATTTTATTGTTTTTAAGAGGAGATAGTGTATCTTACTTCACTATTTTTGTGTATTATAAGTTCAAAAATGGGTGCTCATCTAAAAAATGGTGAACTTAGCTTAAAAGTATATTTTTTTCATATGTCAACGTTGGAGAACCCATATAAAATGTTCCAATTTCGAAAAGCTTCATTGCACACCTTATCTAACAATATTATGGAGGGTCGTGGAACTTATACAAGTGAGTATAACTTATTAGAAGGGTTTTTTTAATATTAAACATAGTGGTAGTATAATTTTTTTTTTAGTTTCACAAAATAAATAAAATGAGAGCACGCATGAAGTTTAAAAGATACCTTTGCCACGCACTAGTTTATAACAAATTGAAACCTTTTATAAAGAATTACTCCGTCATTAAAAATAGGTTTTTTCATATTATTACAAATAGTACTGATAGCATGACTTCTCTATAAAATTACAAGGAAGAGGAAGCTAAAGAGGGTGCACATTAAACTTAAAGCAATATTTTATTCTGCACTCTAGTTTATAAAAAAAAATTTTATGGTGGAAACCTGACCAAGCGATAATACTTTTTAAAGGGAGAAAAAAAGGACAGACCGAACTCATAAGGGGACCCTTTACCTATAATCGAAGCCCATGTATCCGGTGACTTGCGAGGGATGTGTTCAGCTTAAAGTAAACAAAAAAGCATAGTTTCATTACTTTTATTTGATAAAACGCTATAATACGATATAAAGTTATTCCTTTAAACTTTTTTAGCGAGTAACCTATATTTAAACGACCTATTAGCATTTTAGTTACTATTTTAAAAAATCAACTTAGCGCTTATATATATTACGGTGACATGGAACTGAAGGACTCAAAGTGTAACATCGGGTCACATTGGGCCCTATCAAGCATTATGAATCCTATTAAATTCAATATTTTTAATGGTAGTAACTTTCAAGAAACATTTATTTAGAGCAAAATGGAAATTACTTTTCGGTCGCCTACGACGCGGTGTTGCCGTTGTAGGGTTACAAGATGAACTGAGGTAAACTTATAAGGGCTCCTCATGTGTGCTAAACGAGCTCCTTTACGTTGTTAGTATTAAGTGTTTGTTGACAAACATGAACGCAGTTACGGCGAGACGTTTGCAGCCTTTATATAGTATATTATGAGTTAAATAGTATTGAATTTTATTTATTAAAATTTTTTTTAGGTGCCTGTGAGTCACGTAACTATAAACAGGCCTTGGCAATTGCCGATCGGTTGTTAAAAAAAGATTCTGGATTAGCTTGTGTTAAGGTTTAGGTTCACCAGCATTTAAATTATTTTTTTAATAACCATAAGATATTTTATGGTACGTTTAATAGGTTTTAAAAGCACTTTCATTGGTTGCTCTCGGGAAGGAGAAGGAAGGATGGAGTCTACTTGAACCCGTTATTGAGCAACCTATGTTGGATTTAACTACTTTGCGGACTGTTCTCCATGTTTTAAACGAATTGAAAAAATGTCTATACTTTAAGTTCCTCTTTTTATTCATGATTTAATACTAAATCTTTTTTCAGTTTAAATTAATGTTTTTTTCACAGATAGAGCTTTGGCTGGTGTACTACAAAAAAATCTAGTTTATGTGACCGGCGCTGAAGAATTATGGACACTATTATTTACCACATATGTGCGTTTAGAAGACTTTTTGCTTCAAAAGCAGGTTCAATTATATATTTTTAAATAACATAAAAATAAAATTCCATCTTTTAGACTGCAATAAAGATGTTTAAACTTTTTAACAACGAGAATTATTATATATGGGCTGTTCAGTGTTTATTACTCCAGGTTTATTATAAGATTGTTCTATTAAACGGTGGTTTATCCCTTTTTAAAACTAATTTTTGGTTATTGCGGGCCCAGTTCATGTTTAAAAATATCAACGTTAAAAATAATTTAGTGCAAATTTGACGAGAAATTGGAAGACACGACAATCCATCTTTCTTTGGCGGAAAGAATGTTGGAAAAGGCCGAGCATAACGGCTGGATTAAATCTGAAGACGGTTTCAGTTGTACTCATTTTACAAATTCCCTATTCTTAACTACTGTTACTTTTGTCAGTACTCGATTTGGCGCTGGAGGCTTTTATTCTAATTAACAAGCCCCTTTCAGCTGCGGCTCTTCTTGAAAGAAATTCCCATCTCTTCTCCGACGATGTGCGCAAGTGGCGGATTCTCGCTCGCCTCAATGCAGATGCTCGTACTTTTATTGCAGCCTTAACAGCGGTGTTTGCTAAATTTTAACTTTAATCTAGAGTGCTGGGAAGTACACGATAATTACCAACAGAAGATTCTCAGCAAATTGTGATCTTATTCTAATAGCTTTCTTCCAGATCCACCTATTCACAGTCTTTTTGATTTTCTCTGTAGCCCGGATGACTGTGTTTCATATCTTGAATATATCCGTTCGGTTTTCCGCGGAGACTGCTTTAATGTCGATCGTTGCAGGGATGTCTGGCAGTTTCTGTCAGTTACTACGGCGCAGTATGAAGGGGAAAAGGTCCCTCATCTTTTTAACGCCTTTTTTGTCCAAAGTTATCTATCTTTGCAAAGTCTATGCTTCGGGGGCCTCGGTTTGCACGACTTTTCTTTGTTTTTTCCTGCCTGGATTCTGGTTATAACGAACTTTCGGAAGGTAAAAGTCCTGATATATCGCCTTTTCGCTATCTAAAGCGTTGTTATCTTGGCCAGTGCTGGACTTGCCTTCGTTAGAGTTCCTCTTGGTGGACTATTTTGCCAAGTTTGGCGACAAGCTGGTCTGTAGTACGGATCTTGGGATTATTCTTCCGTCCATCTGTCCAAGCCTTCTTCTTTCTTTTTTTGATTCACTTCAATCTGCATACGATAATTTTGATAAGGTTGGTATTGATTTGCGAGGCCGTCAAGCTGGTTCTACTCTGATTCTTTGTCTGTCGTAGTTAGACAGTTCGTCTAACCTGGCAAGACACGCTTCTTTCCAGCGGCTAAAGCGCCGGTCCGGCCTCATGGACGCAGAAACATGTGAATCACTCGTGGCTCTTTCTGAGTCACTTTTGACATCGAACTTGACGCATGCTAGGGACGATTTGCTGGGCTTCTCTGCGGAGCTTCTGCTCTCCGCTTTTCTTAAATCAGGCATTCCCAGTTCTTGGTTTGTTCCACGTGCTGTCCGACTCCTTCCTTTTTAAAGGATGCGTTAAGCACTTGCATCATGCCGCTTTGCTTTTGCGGTGCGCTCTAAATAAGTCACCTTATGATGCACGTCTCAAAGTACGGCTCCTCCTTGTATACAATCAACTCGGTATTCAAGTTTCGCCGTTTCTTGCTGCGTAGAGATTTTTAATTCTGGCGCAGGGATGTTTGCGAGCGCGTTTTCTTTGTTTTCAAGTCTGGACGTCAAGCAGATCCAAGTAGAAACGTTGAGGTTTGAGGTTTCCTTTCGTGTGCGGCGTCTTGCACGGGGCTTATTGCTGGTTTTCCGTGGGCGGCGCAGTTACCTTGTAGACGACATCCACGTGGCTTGTGGCGACTTGGAGCGGCGCATGCACCACTTTGGTTTGTGCTCTTCGTTTTACTGTTCTGCTGGTGGCGAGATTGCGGAAGCTGTGGTGAAAGCCTTTCGCTTCGGCACCTTTTCGAAGGTTGAGTTCTTCTCTTCTACTGCTGATAGTTAAAAAAACTACTCAAACTTTTTTTTTAAGATTTCCGAGTTGACTGCGTTCAAGCAGAAAATTAATGCTTCCTTAGCGAAGTTGTTCTACAGCGTGGAGCTTGCTTTTTCCAAATGTTTTGGAGCCACCCACAAACAAGTTGTCTACCTCTTTTTAATGGACTTCGCTGTGCTATATTATTTTATATGCAACGGCCAGGCATTTAGTTACTTGAGTGCTATAATTGTACTGAATCCGTGCTTCGAGAGCCTTCAGGACAACAGAGACTTTGAGATTCTAAAGCATCACTCGGATCCTGAAGCACAAAGTCTTAAGCAGCAGCACACTGAAAGGGTCACCCATAGAAGCCTTTCAAGTAAGTAATGTTTTTCGTATTTTCCTTTTTGTAGGCTAAACACTGCCGGGCTCATTGGATCCAGCATCGGATCCTCCTTGCTCAGCTGCTTTGCTGTTCTTTTTTCTACGAAAAGAAGCCGGAGTTGCTTTCTAGCTATAAAAATCACTTGTCTTTCTGTACTTCCACTTTCGGTTCTGCTGTGCTTGTTCGTATTATTCATACGTATCGCTTCTGAAAATCCTTTTCTGATTTTTCTTTTCCAGGGCGAGTTCGACGGCTACTCGTTTCTTTATAGTCACTTTAAAGATTATAAACCGTTTGGGTTGCTGTATGAGAGTCTCTTGCTATGCGCTTCCGCCTTCTTTTCAGCCGTTCAAGTTGAACACCAGAACGCACAAGGTACTACTGTTTCTCTTGTTTTGCTTTACTATAAGAGAACAGCCTTTTTTTTTTTGAGCGGTGTCTGCGGTAAAAAGCGCTTTAACTGCACTGCTACGCTCGACCAAAGGTTTTTTCTTTGCCTCGCTATACTTTACTTACTGAAAGATTCTTTTTTTTTAGGGTGTCTAGGAAGTGTCCCTTTCTCTTCCGTCGACGCTCATTTTTTTCGCGTCTTAAATTTTGTTTTTGAGGTGCTCCGATTTTGCTAGCTTTATTTATTCAATTTATTAATGCATTTTTTCGTTTAGATGTTTGCCTTCCAGAGTTTAGTTTTGCAATCTTTTACTCGTTCAAAGTTAACTCGGAAGCAAAAGAAAGAGTTGGTATATACTATTTTATAAAATTATTGTTAGCGAAATTAATTTTATTATAATGAAAAGCCGATTTTAAGCGTTCTTCAAGCCGTAGCGGATCACCTTCGTGATCTTCGCGAATGCTTAGAAGCTTTTATTCAGCGCATCTCCGCTCTTCCTATTAACAATCATAAAGCGGTTTACGATCTGCTGGTCCTTTTGTTTATAGTCTTTTCCGCTAGTGTAGAAGATTGATTTGATTTTTATAGCCCGAAGAGAGCAGACTATTTTCCACGCAGTTGGCTGATGACCTTAAGCAAAATTTTACTTTTTATATAAAATTATTATACGACGTTAAGAAGAATCTCGAGTCTAAGCAGTTCCTTTGAAATGCAAACAAAATAATTTTATTAAAAAATACTTCCTTTTTAAATTCTCTGCGTCCTTTGTTAAGCTTATACTATTTTTTACTTTACTTTTATAATCTTTGTTTGAGATTATAAACGTTGGCCTTTTCTTTTGCCTTTATTGATCTCGACTGTCACTCGCCAACGGTATCCCTTAAATTTATTTCTAAGTTCTTAAAATATATAAGTTGAGTAATTCTTAACAGACCTTAAAAAAATTCCGCCTAAATAAATCTGTATTGTCAAGGCTTTCTAATCCTCTACCTTAAATTTTTGCTTAGTGAACTAGTTCAGATGACTCATAATTTTTTGACTCCTTCCTGCTCATTTATAAGGTTTTGAAAAAAAATTCTTTTCTATTTTTTTTAATGGCGACTTACCCCTGCTGTTTTTTTTTAGGTGGTCGGTCCCCCTAGTCTTTCTTAATACTAAATTCTGGTGATAAACAAGTTGTAGTAGCTTTTGATTTTCTCGTAAAAGACACATTTTGATAATGGATAATAATACTCTTTAGTATTAATTTAGTTTAGTGGCAAAGAAATTTTTAAGGCTAGTCTGCCTGCAGCAGTAACTAAAGTTAACTTAGCTTATTTTTTACATCGAATACATCCACTCCGCGTAGTCCTTAGGGACTAAAAACTTTAGTACCTGTATTGGGAGTAACAGAGAAAATGGTAGAAGAGATTGTCACGGAAGCCTTAAATAGTACCTTTTTTAAAATTATTATTATTTTATTGCCGACATGCTTCCGCGAAGTTTATTAACTGTTTAATCAATATTCTCCTTAAAAACATTCCCCCATTTAAGGGGCTTGCTTACTAATTTTTTTTTCCTATAATAATTTTACTGGAATATAAATCTAACTTTCGCCGAAGTATATTTATTGTTACTAATATGAATTTTTATAAGCAACATTACCCTTATTATTTATTCGCATTCAATAGCTATAGTTTGAGTTGTATGTTAATCCTTACAATTGTTACTAAGCTGTGCGTAAATAATAACCATTTTAGGGTCTCAGCTTTGCAAAACTACTTTTTTTTAGCCCAATGCTACTCGTAAACACTTGAGGGTGTTTCCTTGCATAACTTCTAGGATGCATAAATTATTTTTGAAAAGTATAACCAGATAATAGAAACAAAGCGCGGGTCACTAAAAAAATCTTATCTCTCGCAGGTAAATGGGTTAGGCATAAGTATTTACTTGCGAACTTAACTTTTCTAGAAATATAGCTAACCTTTTACTTTATTAAGCTGTGATGTTGCTAAAGTATAATGATGCTAATATTACATGCATTATTATCGTACTTGGCCTTTTGCTGCTGCTTCTTTCTTAATACGTATACTATTAAAATGTGAAATTGTGACTCCAAGACTTGTGGATGGCGCTATGATTTCTTAAGGAAATCGTACCTTTTGCATCTTTTCGATATTTATTAAGGGTGGGTAGCAAGTCAACGCTAAAAATAATACATAATTAAATAAGTAACTTTAACAAAAGTTCTACTGAAGTGGGCAATCTAAAATAATCTCTAAACTTTTATTGACCTTATCCTTATACATCTTGTTGCGCTTTAAGATTGTAGTTTTGATATGCTCATTTTTTCAAAGGGTTAATTAAAGAAAACTATGAAACGTTTTAAGCAATTTACAGTAGACGGCGGAGTCGTCTGTGCGTTACAAAATTTAGAAGAGAATAATCGTTCAGCGTTTTAGTTTATATAAAGGGCTGTGCTGTTTTGAAATACCTTGTTATATTTTCTTAGAAATTCAGAGCCAAATAATACTAAAGTTTGTCTAGTCTGTAAAAATTGCATCCTTCTGGCTTTTGTTAACGTTGAAGAAGAATATTTAGCGAAACTTATTTAAAAAATATTATGCAGAATAACTTTATGCTTATTACGTTTTAATTAAAAAGAGTTTAAAAGTTAATCAACGAGAAGACTTGCCACATAGCTCACTTAAATAAGCCTATATAAGTGCAAAATTTTAACTAAATATCTTTTATAATTTATTAACGTGCTAACAGTATTTTTTTTTAAACTTTTTTTAGCTAGACCAAGTGTATCATAATCTAGTCCACTCTCCTGTTAAACAGACAGGACAGCTAAAAAACTATTCTCGTTCAAAAGCTACGAGATACACAGAGCTAAATTGCAACGCTCTCCATGTTTTATTATAGTCGAAGTAAAAATAAGAAGCAATCTTAGTAAACTTTTAATCCAATGAATAGATTTAAAAATCTGTAGGCCTGTTAGGATTATAAAAAGAACGCTAAAAAAGATAAAATAATTTTTTTAAGAGTTAAAGCCTGAAAAATTAATAGTACTCTCGACTAATCAATTGTTCAAACTAGCTGGTTGGTAAAAGAACAAAAAATTTATATTAGTCGGTTGAGCAGCGCTTAACTAACGTAAAGTGTTCACACTACGAACTTGTACTCCTCTCCTCCTCCTCGCAAATTTTATTATTTGAAATCATGGGCCCGCCGGTAAATATTGTCTATAATCGTGCAAAAGAAATAAGAATATATATTTTATTCTAGTGTAAAAAAGTTTTGTTATCTTTCTTCTAAAAAATATCGGTTTTGAAGAAAAATCTAACTCGAGGTAAGTCTATTATTAAGTTATATTTCTTGTAAACAGTAAAATAGGGGAACAAAAGAAAATGAAGACAAAAAGCAGAAGTAATTACTTCATTGAACTTCAGAACTTCTTTTCTTGTAACGTGTCATAAGATTATCAATAGAACGGCTTCCTTATTGGATTTAAACATATTCGTATACCTAAAGTTAAAGTCAGCAGAGTTCAAAGGGTACCATAACCGCCACGGCCGGGATCATAGTCTTGCCGGTGTTCGTCACGAACCTACCAAAATAATAATAATAAATGATATAATAAAAAATAAAACAAGAAAGTAAATACTTGGCCACCACTCTTACCCCTCCCGAATTGTCTTCCTTCGATGAAACCTGCGTCCCAGTCACAACGAATTATCCGATCATCAAGTTTAGTACCACTGATGTACTTAAGACAGTCGTGAGCGTCTTTCTGAGTATAAAATCTTTAATAAAGAAAATTAAAAAATAAACTGAATAGCTGTTAAAAAAGTTACTCGACGAAACAAAAACCACAAGGAGTTCGTTTATAACGGTCTAAGCCCATTATTATTCTCTTTATTTCTCCACTGAGAGAAAACAACTCATAAATTTGTTCCTCGGTGGTGTAAAACGAAAGATTTCCAACGTAAAGTGTAGTGGACTTCTCAATTGCCTCCTTTAACTCCTGCTTTGACCCCTAAAAAGTGTGTTTCAACTTAAAGTAAATATGAAGTTGAAAAAAATTAACAGGAAAACGTAGATCTTGATAATCCGTTTTCTTCAATCCCTGAGTTATAATGAGACTTGGTTCAGGAAAACCTAAGGAATCCAAAAGGCCTTGCTTCTTAGTGAGGTCCGCAGATGCTTCGGCTTGCATATATAAAGTAGCTTGGATTACGAGAAACTTTAGTAATTATACGCCACGTATAACTGAACACCACACCGAAATGGTTATAGAATTATTATTAGCCCTTTAGACCATGATGGTGGCGTTCGTCATAATTAATTACAAAGTTTTACTTAGTTGTACGTGTTGCAACGATTGACTAGAAGTAAGGTTAAATGTAAGAAGTAATATACATATATATATATGAGATTGCTCTAAGATAAGCTTATATTTGGTTTGTACGCTATCATTCTGTGGAGCTCGTAAGTTTAGTGCTTTTCTGACCTGACCGAGAACCAGGTAAAAAAAAAGGTCGCTTCAGCAATTTATCAATTTAATGGTTGTTTGCTTTTATTAATTGAAGATGCAAGTAAGTACAATTATGAACGCTCTTTCTCTTAGTAACAAACGTGGTAAGTACCAATAAACTCTATAAAATCTAAACTGGAAAAAGCATCAAGATAAAGAAATAAAAACTTCAATACTTGTTGGCTCTTTATATCATAGTGGGGGCATTATTAGCCACGACGTTTTCATGGTTGCAGATTTCAAAAAGGGTAAGTTTTGAAATTTAAATGAGACAGTTACTTTAGTTAAGCGACATGTTGAAGGGAACTTTTATTTAAGCAAAAACTGACAAAAAATGATTTTTATACTGTACGGTATTGTAGGTTTTATATAACCTCTACCGTGTCGCAAAACTTTATTAATTTTTTTAAAATTACCAATAAAAATTTTCTAACTACCTTGGGCTTAGCTATTTTTTATCTATAATAATTTCTAGTCATCCTGAGCACAAGTTATATCTTAACAGTTATTTTCCTTTTACTATTATCCCAAGGAACTCACGGGTTAGTTCCTTAAGAAATTAGGGGCCCTCTAAATTGAATTTATTAACTACAAAAGAATTTCTGAAACGCTATGAATAATTTCATTACAATAGGAACTAAAGATTATCTAAAGACTATGTAACGGAGGTAAGACTAAAAAAAAGGTTACTCTATAGCAAAACGTCTCACCTTTACACGTCTTAACATCCTCTTTTTAATCTTTCATATCGCAAGGTAACTTCTCTAGAGTCCGCAAATATTTTTACTTTGCTCTATAAATTCAGGGCTAAAAAAACTAGGGGAGAGATGTGGTTGGTGCCTATATATTTAACTATTAGACCTCATAATGTGCGCAGAAAAAACAAAAAGAGTCAGACTCAATCTTAAAATCTTTAATAATAAACAACATATACCTATTAGTACTTGAACACCTATTAAGGTTTAAAGTGTTACAATAAACTAAAAAAAATTGAATATAGTGCTCACTATAATAATATTTAAAATGAAGGTGGACAACTTTTAATATTAGAACTTATGGCCTACTATGTATAACTTAAGCTTGAAACTTCTCGATAGTAGGCCCACGAATTCCTTTACATGGAAGACTGTCATTTTAAGTTTTTAAAAAACATTGCGAACAGGCGAGTCACCTTTACATAATCCTAATTAATTGTTATAAAAGAAATACAGGTTATAAATAGTCCTTAGTACTATTTTTTATAAGTACAGGTGCCGCAAGCTATATCCATATATACATAAGAATGCATGGATTTTGTCCGAAAAGATCTTTACCACTAGACTGTTGCATACAAATTGTAAAATGAAGTGTTATGATTAAGCAAAGAGTCAGCGCTACTTAAGTCAAAAAAAAAGTTAATATAAATATATTTAAATCTATAAGAATGTCTTAAAAATTAAAAAGGGTGATTTAAATCTTTTTATTAGTTTAGTACTGTTTTCTCTACTGCGCAATACTACTATAAGTAGCAGGTATATAACGTGAAATTCGCCGTCTAGAAAATATCCAACTTTTAAATTAAAGCAGTTATCATTATTAGAATTTATCAGTTTGTCAACAATATTCGGTATAATTTGTTGAAAGAATATATTTGTTAAGCTCGATTCAAAGCGGTGAGTTTGACACGAGCTGTGGAGAAAGTTCAGGTCAGCAAAAAAATTAGATGATAAAGAACCCTAGACTCTAGTAGAAGCTGATCCACGTCAAACGCAAACCAACTTGCGGAAGCGTTGAGTGTTATCCAGGCACCCATTTCCAAACGTTTAAAAGCTGTGCGAAAAGTACCACATATACTAAAGAAAGATGTTGTGAAAGGAGAAAAACCGTATCCAAAATTCTGCTTGGCAGGCGAAAAAGTAAAGGACTTTTACGTCGAATGTGGTTGGCAATGAAAATGTTTCTATTTTATAACCCCAAACGCCCAAAAACTATTTGCGATCCAAGACAACCGTCAACATCTACGTCAAAACGCAATATAAATGGGGGGGAAGCCATGCCTGAACTGTGAAAGGGCCAGGAAGGTGTGGTGTATTATGAGATACTGAAACCTGGCTGAACTGTCACAGGGGTTCTCTATTAACAACAAATTTTGAAGCAATACAGCATAAAGTAATCGCTTCATGATAACCCTCCCCACTTCGCTAAGACTGTTAGGGAAACACTGGAAAACACTTTTTTTTCGTACCATGGGATGTTAAAACTCTTTCAGTTGCTTATAGTCATCCTGACCCTTCGCAGTAGAGTTTGCTTCTCTAAGTCAGCAACACCATTTTAAACCTCGAGAAACCCTCCAAGCAGGCTATGAGGCCCACCCCGGATAGGCACTTAAACAGCGAAACTTTCTCCCTAATAAGTAGTTTTGGAGTCCCACCAGCTGAATTCCACCCTCCACTTCGCCCCCGCCCTCCTGGGTCACCATACCTTTAGGGCTTCTGTTCGAGGACAGGAAAACACTTCACTGGAAGTGCTACCCACTGCGACTTTTTTACCAGACTCCTCCCCTTCCGTATATCACTTGTCTCGGATATTGGCTCACGCGCTTGCTGAAAACACTTTGACTCTACGAAAACGCCGAAAATGGGTTCTCTGAATGATTAGACTCTAAAGATGAGTCGTTTTTTTAAAGGGGGATCCGCTTGTTGCCAGAAAGAGAGGAAATAGTCTTTTCTAACGATGATATTTTAAAAGAATTATAATTTTTTGTAAAAAAAAAACGACTGGTTGTAAGTTATATACCTAACAAACACCGCGAGCAGGGTTACGAGGGTCGTCCGGCGGAAAGTGAGCCACGTTTAGATGGTGTTTAGAAAGAAAACTTGGACTGTATATGTACATACATAATGTTTATAGCTTGTGGATAACCCTCATTTTAGATCAAGAGAATACATTAACAGTTTAAAAAAAATTGCATAATACACACTGACCTGGATTACCCGATACACCTGGAGTTTGCGAAGGCTGTCTAGCGTATAATGATCCTCGTCTAGAAGGGTACCTGTAATTCACACAAAATGTTAATAGCTGATACGTCAAATTTAAAATGATCGATGTAACAGTAATTGTGTAACCGTCAAACAAACGTGTCTAGAGAAACCTTGTTATTTTGAAATTTTGAATATTGGACTGGGATAAAGTACTATGGAAAAGAAGGGGACGTGCTGAAGAAATCAGCGAGGGATTATTGGACACTTATCCCCATTGTGCTTAATTATATGCAATGATCAAAAAGTGAACTTGGCTATTAAAGGACTACTAAAGACGTTGAGCACCGAAGACCGCCTTGTACAGTCGCTACCGAAGAAAGTATTATGAAAGTGGAAAAATTAGTCCTCGAAGACAGTTGAATTTCGGGTTCGCTGAATAGCAGAAGAACTAAAGATCAGCAAGGGTAGCGTTGGACAAAGTTTTCTAGGTCATTTACTAATGAGCAAGGTATGCTCGCGTGGGTACCCGAAATATTAACCAGTGTTCTTCTTAAGATACAATTTTAGTGGACACCGAATCTAAATGATACATTGTACTTTCTTTTGAAACTATCGCTGTCAAGTATTTCTATATTATGTTTGTCAATAGGCAGATATTTTCCTCAAAACAATGATCTATCCTAGGCCTCAACGCACTTTCTTTGATTTGGGTTTGCGGTGTACTTCCAATTAACCGTTGGAAGGTGGTTTAACCAGAGGTTAAATCTACCTCCTATACTTTTTTAATAAATTAATATGTTTTAAGTTAAAATATATTCTTTAGATGCCACGAAAAACACAGCGCACACTTTTTGATAGGAGGCATCCGACTAATATGACAAAACTAAGAGAAACCTGTTTAGGGTTCAAGTCAACACAACTTTTGAACTTTTAATAGTAGTTCTTTTTAACTGATAGTCTTGCTATTCTAAGTGTAGCTAAATCCAGAGCCTAAAGCTTAGTTAACACCATTATCACCATTAATATACATCAATAGGGTCACGTGGTTTTATTAAAAGTCTAAAGCTGATTTCAAATAAGGTTATAGAATGTATTATTATCAGATTTATAAGGCTTTGTTATTTTGATTAATTAGATAGTTCTATTGATTGACTTATGTTAATTCGAGCCAAAAGGCTCATTAATCTTGCGGAAATAAAACCTTACATTTTGTATACTGCCATCACCTACTGAAGCTGCTCGTTTGGAAACAAATAGGGAAGTAAACGCACAAATGACAAGACAACCACACAGCTCTAGTTTGCAAGGCGTACTATACAAAATATGTGCTTTGAGGTAATTACTTGTTCACCTACAGCATGATCTGACTCCCAGTCATTTTTGTTTGTTTAAAGGTTTAAATAATGCGTTACAGGGTAGAATTTTGCGATGAAAACAAAAATTGGTCGGCTGCAGATGAAGCATTTTTTTGCAAGCAAAGTTTTGAAATATTTCTTTCACGGGATAAAACAATTGCACGGTCGTTTTGAAAAGTGTACTGAAATAGATAGAGATTATATTAAAAAATAAAAAATAATAATTTCTAAAAGTCAATTCTCGTTAAATAACTCGTGGATAAATACAGACAGGCCTAAAAAGATTATATTAAACTTTTAGTAAGTTTAGGTCTTAGTTCCTAAGGACTTGAGTTGGTGTTATTTTAGTAAATGTTCTTTTTTTAAACTCTCCACGGAATACAACACTGATTAAATTTTTTTTTAAGTTAATTGTATATTCCGTTTAGCAGGGGAAGAAATGAAATTGCTGTGCAACTCAAATTTTTAATGAAGGGGCACCCTAAAACAATTTGGGCCTGAAGAAAAAATTATATAATGCAAGTTGTTTAAAGACACAAGAATTGAAAAACTTTGCTTAGATCTAATATATATTTAAAAAAAAAGATCAGACTTGTTTATAAATAACGCAGAAAGGTTTGAAATTATAGAGAACAATTTTTTTTAGCTGACTATTGATTTTGGTAGTAAGAATAAGAAGCTTTCTTGCACTTTTGTTCAACTAGGCTTAACATTTAACTAAGAAATACGTAAGTTTTATTTTCTCAAGTGTATTTTCAAGAAATATAACATTATAGAAAAGACTTTTATAAAAAGTCTACAAGGCCCGATTAGAGGCTTTAAATTGATTGCACATTCTTGTAATTACGCAAGACAGTACTGAAACTTTGAGTGTGGGTTCTGCCTTCATACGTCTTTTACCGACTAGCGTCTTCAGTTTGTTGCGATATCTGAGACAAAAGAGGCAAACAGAAATTTGTGGAGGTCAAGAAAAGCTGAAAATTAAATGCTAAGCACGTTATTTATTGTGTTTTTTTTGTATTTGTTTAATTTATCATATTTGGAGTTGTGATTATCCGTTACATAGAAATAAAAGACGTGTTGCTGAGGGTGACCTTTTGGGAACACGAGTAAAAATCTTCATGGCCTACGAATAGTTTTTAACTACAGTAGTAGTAGTAGTTCTCATTATCCAACTAAACTTAGAACTATTTTTGATATTGCATACTATGACCTTTCTTATAGTAAAAAATCCAAGCAAACAACTACGTAGGCGAGCACACTATTTAAATTCTTATTTTAAGTAGCTTTTGCATGGTTTTAATTGTAAACTGAAGAAAGAAATTTTTCCTTTATTTATCTCTTCTATATTGGAACCCCCCAACAACAATCGTCTGGTATCACATTATAGCTCTGTTTATAATTTTTAATCTGAAATATAATAAAGGTAGATAAAATATTAGCAAAACTTCTACTAGGATTGTTACCAAGAACTAAAATCTTAAGTTTTTTTTTAACCATTCGTTATTAAGTAACTGGAACGGAGGCCCCAAAGGCACCAACGCGGTAAACTTTTAATAACATCAAGTACTGTATGTATATACTTAGCTAAGGTATAGAGTATATTCATTCAGCTATTTATCGATTCCGGTTTTAATTATTACGGGTCTAATCCAGTAACACAAAAAAGCAGTCCGTGATGCTCAATATGATAGCTTGATAGAAATTGCAGTGGAACTAACGCTGCCGACACCGCCCTCCTTTACCATATTCAGGTGCAAATTTTCCTTTTTAACCCGTGGATGACCACCTATATCTGCAGCAACAGATGGCTTAATTGTTACCTAGGCAGAAAAAGAGCTGGTACCAGATTGATGGCATTTGTTCGAGTAGCCTGAAAGTTAAGTAATTGTTTATTGACTTCCTACGGTGATGCAAGACAAATGAGCAGGCATGACCTCAAGATTGAGCTCCATTTGTAAGAATGTTGCTAGGTTACTTACAACAGGTCATTGACTAGACTCGAATTAATAAATTAAGCCGTTAGTCAAGGTGGGTGAAAGTATCAAAATTTTAGTTTGGGAAGTCCTACACGGAAACACCCGTTCCAGAAAAAATGCGATTGACACCGACGGGAATCTAACCTCGACTTTGAGATGGCAAGACAATGCCTTAACCACTAAGCTACGGTGGCAAATCACTTCCTCGTTCGATAAATTACGTATACGACTTTTGTCAGACAGATCCCAAGCCCAGGTATTTTGGCATTTATCTTGAATTTAATTGACGGATAGTCTTATAAGGTTCGGTCATCGAGGAGCGAGCTCACAAACACGGACGCATGTGGCCTCGGCCTCGTATTTTTAAGGACCGCACTTTTTTCGCCCCCTTACGACTTCAACCAGGAACCTTGAGGCCAATCCTCGATGCGGAAGAAGAAAGCATCGGTGTGATAGTAGTACTACTGAAGTAGAACCCAAAAGAATGTTAACTCGCTCTTGTATATACCTCGCATTTTTATGTAATAAGGACGCGCCTGGCCATAAGTAACGGTATATGAGGCTATTGAGACAACTTTCTTTGGCTAGTAACGATATTAGTTTAAGTTTTACTATAAAACTTCTACTCATATGTGAGCTCTAGTTAGCGCAGCGGCTGTTCGGTCTATTTAAGAATTATCATGGCCTAACTTGGCTCGAATATTATGTCGAGGAGGCTTAAGTGTTATAAAAAAAAAAATAAAAAAAAGCTATGTTTAGAGCATTTCAGTGTTCTACCCCTCGTAATTAATTTGTATAGTAAAAAAGGTATGATATTTCGATAAAACTAAATTTAATAAAATTTTTATTCCCCGTCTATAGAGCTTGGTAATTCTATTTTTTTCTTTGTTATAATAGATAGTTCTGTAGACAGCACATCTTTTATTTTACTTCCATCCCGCAAAGATATCCATTCTTTACTTTTCGTGTTATAATCATATCTTTTGGGACCTCTACGACGATTAAAAAAGAGTAAAAGAATAAAAAAGGTCGATGGCTCCAAGCAAGCAACCCCAAAGGCGAGGAAAGCCATAGCTGCTTGTTTGGAGCTTGTTTGTTAATAACATAAGTTCCGTATTGGCCCAAGTTGACCGTTAGTACACCACTCTATACAAACATGAACCAGATGATATAATCAGCTTTGTAGATAACCCTACTTCGTAATAAACGTCCCAGTCTTTCTCTTCATTCTGTTCAATAAAATTTTCAAAAAAAGAAGTAAGCTTCTTTAAACTATTATCAGATAAGTCATGAAAAAGCTTGCTGGAAATCTTTCCGCTTTTGATATAAAAAAATTTACTAAGAACGTAAGAAGATTTAATAACATACTTGTCGCAAGAATGAATTGTTTTAAGGTCGCATTTTAAGCTGTAATTACGAATAACCAGAAAAGTTATATTAGCCTATATAGTCAAAAATTATCATAAAAAATGCGATAATCTGAACGACAGTTAAAGTAACTATAAAAATATAAGCGAGTTAAACATACCTTTGTTTGTTCTCGAAACCAAACAAGTTTGGAACCATTGGTTTTTTTAAAATAACATAGCATCCTTTTTTTAAAATGTTCAGAGGGTAACACAAAAAATTTAGAGAAACAAAAAGGAATCATCTTTTTAGGCATAAGGCGGTTTAAAGAGAGAACTTTTACACACGATACTAAGAAAGTAATGAACAAGTCGAAATTAATGGGGTTCAGTAAACAGCATAAAACCAAAAGGGCTGTACTGCGACGCGAGCTACTCTCATAGGTCGCTGATAGTAAACAATATTGTAACACTGATACTCACTCAGTTAGTTATTTTAGACCCTCTTTGACAAGCTGGGAGTAAAACTTTTTGCAATTGCTTTCAGCAGTTCCTTTATTGTTATAGGTGTATATGAATTTTTATCATATGTTATATATATTTTATTACTTTAAATTTTATGCTTTTCTATAATTTTTTTTGCGCCTCCTATTCATTTTCCAGCTTTCTATAAGCGTGCTATTCTTATTTCTTCTTAAATATATCTATTAAAATAAAAGTGAAATATCCCACATCCCTTAGAATTTTTAAATACAGATAATGTATCGTTCTACTGATCAATTTTATGAAAGATATAAACCGTTGATATTTTAAACATAACTATACTATTCCTTCGCTTATTATAAAAATATATAATAAAAATATACCGGATGAACTATAATGTTTATTTTATCTGTGCAATTTAACTTAAAAAGGAACGAACATTTTATGTGCAATACCCCTTGAACGGGGATCAGAGAATTCTAGATATAGATTGTCATCCGTTACATGCTTCCAGTTGATAGAAATATATAAAGCGTAAATTTCCAAACAAAATATCTCACGGCAGGGCGTCACATCATATGTTCTGAATGGCTCCCAGTATCGTTGGACCAACGTATTCATCCTTCTATCTTTAATAAAAACAAGATCTAAATTTAAAAGTGGGTAAACTAGGTAGATTCATATAGTATGCGGATAAGGTTGCTAGAGTAGAGCTGGATTCCCCACAGGAATTCCGTTAGTTTGGAAGTGTAGCTTGTAGTTAAACTCTAATTAACTGGTACTAAGAATACCACGAAACATTTTTTACTTACAATATAAGCGTACAAGTTACTACGAGCTAGAGTAAAGGATAAATAAAACCTCTCATATATCTTAACTAATGTCATGATTAGGTTAAGCTTTTTTTTTGGACTTATGCGTGTATGACTCTTAAATTTCTTATATAAAGTGGTGTGATTAAAGTTATTTCTATCTTCTTGAGTAAACTGGTATTCATCAACATGTATCTATTAAGTCTTAAGAGCAAAGAATTTTGGGCCTACTTAATCATTTGATACTTTTGCTTAGTAAAATAGTTAATACAGCATTTTATAGTTGCCTTTATAAATGCGAGGTTATCTTTGGTTTGGGCTTCAATAAAATAACAAATAATCTTTCTTTTTTGTCAACTGGGAAAAGTAAAATCTTTTCGTTCCAACCCGTTCAGCAGTATACTGGATTGTTAATTATATGTAAAATCAATTACTATAGACTTTATTAAGCTCGGGAATACTAAAAAAAAAAATAGTGTCGGGAAAGTTATAAAATCAGCTTGTCTGCTTGCGCACTTAAACAATTTTGTTTAGCAATTAAGTAGGAGTAGGATAAAACGGGTCATCCTTGTCTTTTCCTAAAAGTATATAATGAAATAGTTAAAAGGATAATGAATTCTAAAAACAATACCGTGAATAAAAATATTTGAATAGTTTTAGAAGGCATGCGACAGATATTGCAGTTACCTGTTACATATTATGGAAAAGAGTTAGAAAACTCAATACCGATAAGCGAACAATTTTATTAGCATAAAATAAATATTTGCTCCTGGTAGCGGGATCAGTCCTAATAACTGATGAACTAAAGAGAGTGAAAGAGAATTATACTTTGCCAAAAAGTTAGATAAAACCTGAGACATGGTAGGAAATAGTACATCGCTCTAAGGTAAGTAACATAAGATTACCAATTCTACTAACTCTTTACTAAGGCCAAAAAATCCCAAGAAAGAGAAGGCAACTATACATTCAAACTTATGAAAAGAATTAAAAAGAAGGTATAAAATTTTTAACCTGAAGATCCGACGATATCCAGTAAAACAGAAACTACGAGAGAGAAAGCATACCGAAAAAGCTCTTTACGAGAAGTTGAGTTTTGGTAGTTTGGCGGCATCTATAAGATATAAGATTTTAATAAAGTTTTAGTACTGTTAATTTAAGACCAATGACCCTCACTTAAGATGAGCATCAAGCACCGAATGGTTGTATTGGGGACCAGAGATAAACAGAGAAACTGTATTTAGAAAAAAAAATTTAAAAAAAGAGAAAATTGTTAAAAATAGTAATTGCAGAAGATGGAGACAGTAATTTGAGTTTTTGCACATTTTATCACTTGATGTTTAGTTAAAAAAATTTAAGATTCTTCTGAAATGAACCTCGACATATATTTCTACCAAGAATTTACCGTTTTTGTTTAATAATCAGTAAATGAATATTTTTTCCAAGGGACCTTTTAAAGCGTTAAATAGACTAGTCATAATTCGAGGAAAGACCGTTTTAACTGTAAAAAAAATTTGAATTCTATCTTAATTAGAAAGTGGTAAATAAATAGTGAAATTTGCATGAATAAGGTAATAAACAGCAAATTTTTCATAATTGAATTAGGGTTATCGACTTAACATACCACACATTTTTTAATAAAATCGTTTATAATTACTTTAAAATTTTTAATTAACAACTTACGTAATTTTTTTTTAAAAACTGGTAATGAATGCCCCCACGGATGAAATCGTGAAATAATAAAAAGTCATTTCACTAGAGAACATAGAATTAAAATTCGCTTTAATAAACAGGGAGTCTAAAAAGGACATAGAGGTATAAATATTTAAAGGGCGCAACGTCATGCAAGGTCTTGTCGACATTATTTTTATTTTAAACAAACGACTATACACGCAACAGTCGATACCATTCTAAAAGTGCACCTGCTTTAGCTACTAAAAAAGTTTAACAAAAATTGTTTTATGAACTCTACTATTTTCGAATCAGAAAAAAAAAAAGGAATTTTAGTTTTGAACCTGAGTTTGCTGCAACTTGGTTGTTGAAATGTATAATTTATATTAAAAATTTAAAAACGCTTTTACATCTCAAGACATCTCTAAGTGGACTTTTTAAAACTTAAACACAAAGTTCTATTAATGATTCCTTTTCTAAAAACCTTCCTTAAAATGAGGTATCAACAGGTATAAAAATTTCAAGGTTAACATTTTTTATAATAAGTGAGAATATTGTGATAATTGAGGAACAAAATCATAGATGCAACCCCAGACTAACTCCTTTCTGATATTGAATATGAGCAAAACCACCATAAAAATTTCTTATTTGAAACAATTACTGTAATTTAAAAGTACCTTAGCTAATTTGGTAGGCCTCCAATGTTACTTGCACTCAAATAGTTTAATTATTCTTTTTCGAAGCCAAAAGGTGACAATTTATATTTTACAGAGTACTTGCACTCTTTTTTTATGTAGCCGCTGTCCTTTATAGCTTTTTCGGTGGGGATTGTGTTGGCTTCGCTGTTACTACGCACTTGTTGTAGGAAAGGGCGTTTAACTATAACAACTTTTGCGACACTTTATTACCCTTTTTAATCTTTAGTTTTAGTTAAGAAATGTCCCGCGAGTATTACGTGTGTGAAGCTCGAACGGCAGAGCAGGCAGAGCGTTTTGATGAAATGGTGCAAGCCATGAAGAACGTTGTTCATCTTGGAGTGGAGTTAACAGTGGAGGAGCGTAACCTTCTATCCGTAGCTTATAAAAACGTAATTGGTTCTCGTCGTTCTTCTTGGAGGATAATTTCTAACATGAAAGATGAAGGCGACCATCCTGATAAGCCTGAGATAATGGAAAAGTTAAGAAAGAAAATAGAGGATGAGCTTGTTGAAATCTGTAAAGAAGTTACGGAGATACTTGATAAGGAACTTATACCTAAGGCGACTACAAGTGAAAGCAAAGTTTTCTATTATAAAAATGAAAGGCGACTATTATCGCTATCTCGCGGAATTCCAGGAGAATGAAGAGAGGAGTCACTCTGCTGAAAAGTCTGCTGAAGCTTATGAAGAAGCATCAGGTCTGCTCTACTTGGTTTTTTTTTTAAGCTATGGTGTTTCTTTTTTATATGTAAAAATCTCTACTGTTGCTTTTTACCTTTTTATCATCCTTTATGCACACAGCTATAGCCACCGTCGATCTCAATCCTACTCACCCCATTCGTTTGGGTCTAGCTTTAAACCAATCAGTTTTTTTTTATGAAATTAGTAAATCTCCTGAGAAGGCTTGCCAGCTAGCCAAGACAGCCTTCGATAATGCCATTGCCGAATTAGATACTTTGAGCGAAGAAAGTTACAAAGATAGCACGCTTATCATGCAGTTATTACGGGATAATCTTACTATTTGGATGAATGACAGTAGCGAGATTGAAGATAAAGCGGATGACTAATAACTTACTATATAAAGTAAGTCGGGCTTATAATTTTTTTTTAATAAATAAATGTTGGTTTGTTGCTCTAACTTTTTAGCTATTTTTTTTGGTTTGTAGCAAGGCTAGGTGACCCGACATACTTTCTGTGATATAAAGTTTAGATATAAGAAACATTTTGCTGAGGATCTAACTTATGATTTATTCATAACTACAAGTTTTGCATCGCGTTTGCTATGTTTTAAGACTTAAAAAGCATAGACAGTTATATGTAAATGGTATTATCTATAGGTAAATTTAAAACTACGCACGACTATTTACGCTCCTTTTTTAATATTGTAGGTATAGTTATAGAAAATGCTACTCCTTTTTTAAACTCGCTTTCTTAAGTAGTGAGCATATGCTTAACCAAAGAAAAGTAATAGCAACTTGAAAAAGACTCCTAATTTAACCCAGTATGCTGGAACATAGTGACACTATTATTGTACCTCTCCCATCCAAAAAATCCTGTCAATTATTTATTTTTAAAATAATTTTCTCAATTTTTAAAATATACTTACAGCCTATATTAGGAAAATGGGGTCACTTAAAAGCTGACACTTTTTCAGTGGAGGAGAACGTCCATTTGTTTTTAAAAGTCATATAAAATTCATGTGTATTGTTGTAAAGGAAAACAGACTATATTTTATAATAGAAAGATTGACTGTATTTATAAAAACAGGCACTGAAAAGAAATATGATATAGAATAGAAAAGAACACAAGTTTATTTAAAATCAGCTCGATTTTTACAGTACAAATATGCATAATCTAGTATACGGGTAAATTTATTTATTTATCGCACGAGCACGCTGCAGTGTCATGAGAAAAAACTTAAACTGCCTAAAATCTACATTCCCCCAGGTTAGAGGGTTCGGAAGGGTTCGGAAATGCTTTCTTCCTGCAAAGATGCCAGCTTTAAAAGCCAAGTCGACTAAAAAGTGAAACTGCCAAAATAAAAAATTGCTTTATAGAGAATTTTATTTTAAAATTTTAGATGTAAGCCTATACTGGGTTTATGGATACAATAAAAAAAATTCTTAGTAAAACTGCGTCACTTATTTTATAAAAATGATTGTCATAATACCATCACAGTAGCTATAACATTATATCGCTTTTTTTATTTGACTAATAATTTATTAGATATTAGCTCTAATATATTATTATTACTAATTAACATCCTTACTAATGTTATCACTATATATTACCATTATTATCATAATTATTGTATTACTTTTTAGTAAAATCTTGCATTTAAAGTTATAATCGAACGAGGTAAGGAGATGTTTCAAACACCTATATATGGGAAAGCCCTCAGTTAAGGCTTAGTAAACTTCAAAATTGGTTCCAGTTCGCATTTACGATGTTTTGAGTCTTTATATACCAAGAAGCTCCTGTAAAATTCTTAATTAATAATGTTGCGTTAGTTGCTGTTTATCTATGTTGGAAGTCGAGGAATAGGCCCAACCTATTGATGCTCATCAGTGGTTTTAAAATAATAGGTAAATAATTAATATGTTAGGAAGGTTAAGGACACTATTTAACACATAAGCGGATATAAAGCGCAGGTCGTATTTCTAATTTTTTTAACCAAGAATTTAATGTGACCCTTCCAATTAGGTTTCTTATAGATAATAACCTAAGAAATTGACTTGATTATTCCAAACGGTGAATATGAAAAAGAAATTAGTTTAGTAGTACCCTTTTTTTCTTGTTTTTGAGACAAGCACGGCGATGCTCTTTAAATGATTAACGGTTACTTTCCATGTTGTTAACCAGTCTTCAAATAAGTTAAGGTAGGATTGCATATATTTAATTGCAAGGGGCGGAGATTTTGAGCTGCTGTAGATGACCGCCATCGGCATAAATGCCTAGGAAGTTTAAGCGGTAGGGAAGGTAGGTCAGGCATGTATAAGAGGAAAAAAGGAGACAACAAGGCTCCCAGAGTTAAGTAGTTTGGAATCTGATAGTTCTGTTCCTACATGGATCATGAAGGATCTATTGTTGAGCATAACTCTCTAATTCTTATCAAGTATCCGAGTAATGCACACTTGAACATTTTATGTATGAGACCCTCAGGTCACACCTAGTGTCGAAAGCCTTCTCTATGTTAATAAAAAACTATAACAGTGGATTTCTTGTAATTAAGGAGATTAGTTGTGTTTTCCACCAACCCTAAGATAGGTTGAGAAGTACAGTGACTCTTTCGGAAACCAAATTAATAAGCTGGGATAAGACTTTCACTATCAACAAATTTTTGCAACCTTAAAAGAAGCACAGCCTCTGCAACGTTTCCTAAGCAGGAAAGTAGACTAACAGGTATAAAAATCACTTCGGTTTGCTTCAATCTTAAAAGAAAATAAACATGGGTAATAATCAAGTTAATGAGCTCTGCAAAGTAATTCATTGCGGTTTAGGAAAATTTTGAAGCATTTTATTAAAAATTTATCTACACCAACGCTTTTCCTAGTTTTAAGTTTATCGATTATAAATTGTATGTTATCTTTTTTCGTAAGGGCTGCCAATGTGAGTAGCGGGCCCTACAATGGCAAAAAAAAGTGAAATTTGCTCTTGTGAGTGCGCTGCGTGTTCTCTGTCCACCGGTGATGGTGTTGTACATACTCCGTACAGAATTTTAACTGAGCAGTTGACTTTTACGGATGTTGCGTAAATAACTTCCCCGTTCTTGATTATAGGAACCTCGAACTCCACAAAGCTATTCGTAAGAGTTAGGGATGGCAGATTTTGTTTCCGTTTTATGTTTGGAAAAGTTGGCAATTCTCGTTTAACAAGCTTACTACTCTTTTAGAAGGACAATTTATCACTATAGGCCCGCCTTTCCATGTATTGTCTCTTTAAGCGGCGTTTTTAACAATAAGTTCTTTGGTGTGAACAGGAACATCAAGCTCAAAGTTTTTTTAGGGTTTTAAGGTGGCGTACTTTAAAGATTTGATAATAAACTTTCAAAGTCACACTCCTTTTAATTGCGGAATAGGAGGAGGGATAAAAGAAGAGAGGTAAGATACCGCTTTTAAGAGGGTCCAGACAGTAATCTTTACACATTTCTCCCTTGTTTCCAAAAAAATCATTTAAACTGGAAGCAGGACGCCATTGGTCAGATGACAATTCGTAGAGGGTTTTAGCATTTATATGTACACGTTCGTTTTTAAAAGGGTTATATCCAGTACATCCACCTTCGAATTCACAGGTG